ATGCTCTGGGGTGGTGTCCAGTGCAGCGTTGCTGCTGGCCAGCACTGTCCTGCTCTAGGTTCCCCGTAGTGGCACGACAGGGCCACAGACTGCGGTATGGGTGTGCTCGATAGCATGGGGCAGCCCTGCTGGCGCTGGAGCCCTGCGTCTGTGCCCAGGCTGATCTGTGTGCCCACTCACACAGATTGGTGTGGATGTGACAGAGGGAGTACTGGTGACAGGAACCCAGGGTTGCCCCTGGAGCTCCAGGGGCTGGCACACCTCCAGTGGAGGCTGCAGGACCGGAGGGCAGGAGGGCTGCTGCGCACTAGGGAGCTGCAGGGAGGGGCCTCAGCTGCCCTCTGCATCTTGTCCCACCACGTGTCCATGATCACAGGAGCCTTGGTGACGGCTGGCCTCCCTCGCTGCAGGGGCGGCCCCTCCCTGTAGAAGTGTGGCCCTGGCCTGGCCTGGCCTTCTCATGGCTGCAGCTCCACCCTGCTGAGCAAATCCCATCTTCCAGTCTCCTTAGCAAAGCCCCCCAGAGCAGGGCTGTACCTGTTTTGCTGGGGTGGGAGAGCATGGCTGTCCATCAGTCATATCCACCCTTGACCCAGTGTTCTGACCGCACAACTCAGTGGGCACTTCTCAGCCCCAAGCCCGGAATAAGCCCTGGTGGGCACCCTAAACAGGAAAGGTGGACAGCTGCCAGGGCTCAGCAGTGCAGAGTCTGGTCAGGTGTGGGAGGACTCGGTTCTCGTGGACTATGGCCCTGTTCACTAAAGGGCACAAGAAGGAAGCGGAGGCCAGCATTCCACCTCGAAGACAGGAGGGTTGGTGACCTGGCAGAGGTCGAGGCATTGCTGTTTTTCTGGGGTAGCTTAATGTCCCCAGGCAGCCCTTGCTTTGCAGAACTGGGGTCCCAACTGACCTGGCCAGCTGTCCTCTCCCCTCATTCCAGCCCTCCTGGGCTCACAGCAGGAGCACACGACAAGACACTGGGCCAGTGGGGTCTGAGCTGAACACCTGCTCCCCACAGCGATACTGGCAAGAACAGCCTCGGCAGAACACACGGAGAGTGGCAGGGACGAGGTCCTCCCCGAGGTCCTCCCGAGGCAGCTCTGGCCCGGCCTTCTCTTGTGGGCAGAGAATGCCGGGGCTCCTGTGGACATCCCTGCTGGCCACTGACAGACACGGTCTTCTCCCCAGCCCCACTCAAAGGCATCCCGAAGCAGGCACCCTTCCGAAGCCCCACCACGCCCAGTGTCTTCAGCCCTGCCGGAAACCGGACCCCCATCCCACCTTCCAGGACCCCACTACGGAAAGAGAGGGGTGTGAAGGTAGGCTTGCTTCCACTCCCCAGCGCCCCAGGCAGCCCCCTCCCACAGGCCGTGGGCGAGCCTGGAGCTGTTTGTCTTGGCAGCTCCTCGACATTTCTGAGCTGGACATGGTTGGTGCTGGCCGAGAGGCGAAGAGGAGAAGGAAGACCCTGGGTGTGTACGGGCTTCCCCCGAGACTGGGAGGGAGGCCCGGACCTGCCCTCAGCTCTCGCTGTCCCTTCCGGCACCAGTGCGCCTGCCCCTCTGAGCCAGCTGAGGCCTCAGAGCACCTCACAGCACCTCTGGCTTCTCCACAGACACAGAGGTGGTGGAAAAGCCGGCCAAGGAGGAGACGGTGGTGGAGAACGCCACCCCTGACTACGCAGCCGGCCTGGTGTCCACACAGGTAGGGCTCTGCTGCCCCACCCAGACACAGCCCGCAGGGCGCTCTCGTTCTCAAGGTTGGAGAAAGTGACCGAGCGTGTGTGTGCACACGTGCGCGCGTGTGTGTATATGTGTGTGTGCGCACGCACACGAGGGGTGGCCTGGGCTGGGACCCTAATCTAGCCATCAGCTCAAGTTTGGAATGAGCACCTGCCACACACTCCCGGAGACACTGCTGCCTGGGGACGTCCTCACTGCTGTGCCTCAGTAAGGGTCCTGCCAGGGGTGAGTGGGGCATATCACCCTGAGTCTGGAGTGGTGTGACCTAAGAGGTGCAGGGCGGGGGAGGCTGGGGTGTGGTCATCCTGGGAAGAGGGCCTTTTCCTGCTGTCCAGGCTGTGGGTCAGCTGAGGCTGGCGCATTTCCCTACAGTGCCCACGCACTGCGGGCAGTTGTTGCTACTCTCCAGAGATGGTGGTTCGTGGCCTCCCAAGTGGGAGCTCCTCCTCTGCGGAAGGGGTTCCAGGGACCAGGGAGGGTGGCGGGGCTGAGGTTTGGGCCAGCCTGGAGCAGCTCTGCCCTGAGGCTTGTGACACCTGTTCAGCAGGTCGGGTGATGTGCAGTGCCAGTCCAGGCCAAGCCAGGGAGGGCTGCTCTGAAACCCAGGCCTGTGCTGAGGGACCATCACTGTCTTCCAGAAACTTGGGTCTCTGAACAGCGAACCTGCACTGCCCTCCACAAGTTACCTGCCCTCCACACCCAGTGTGGTCCCAGCCTCCTCCTACGTCCCCAGCTCCGAGGCGCCCCAAGGTGAGTGGCTGCAGTGTGCTGCTCCTGGGGCTGTAAGGGCTCCTCCTGCCACCTGGAGCCAGCGTGCCACCTGGAAGGTGGCCTTGCCCACATGGTGCTGCAGGGGCCCACCGTGCTGTTGACATCCATTCTGTGTCCTTTAGCTTCTGCTGGGTGGGGGTGGGGGAGCCCCTCCTTGCCAAGAAATAAACCCCCTGCAGACAGGTAGCCACCGTCTGCTGTCCCCTGGCTGTGCTCCAGGGGCAGGAGGGGCTGAGGGCCCGGGGACAGACCCTCAGCCCCCAAGTTTCTGGAGATCTGTGGGAAGCTGGAGCTGGACCATTCACCTGACTTAGGCTTTGGTTGTGCTGCGATGCAGAAAGGCCTCAGGCCTGGCAGCCTGTGTCTTGTTGCCAGCACCTCATGACCCCAGGCCACTTGTGAGGATCTGAAAGTGCTTGGGACCGCAGGTTCTGCCCCTTTTGGTGGGGCATGCAGGGTTTATGCCAGGGAGGGCTGCTTATCCTGCAGGAGGAGGACAGAGCAGGTGGGTTTGGGGTGCCAGCTGGTCAGGGCTTGGGAAATGGAGGGTGGGGTCTAGGGCAGGTGGCTTGGAGAATGGGGGCTGGGCACAGGTCCGGTGCGGAGGGGGAGGTGGGGGGCCTAGTCCCAGCCTCCCTCACCAGGTCGTACTTTACCCTAGCACCATCTTCCCGGGAAACCAGTCTGCAGGCCAGCCGGCCACCTGAGGAGCCCAGCACCCCGAACCCCACACTGCCGGCACAGTTTAAGCAGAGGGCACCCATGTACAACAGCAGCCTCAGCCCTGCTGCACCTGCACCTGCACCTGCAGCACCCACATCACCCCTGACGCCCACCACACCCCCAGCTGTTGCCCCAGCCGCTCAGACGCCCCCAGTGGCAATGGTGGTCCCCCAGACCCAGCCCCCTGCCCAGCAACAGCCTAAGAAGTTGTCCCTCACGGTAGGTGGGTCCTGGCAGGGCCTGTGGGCTGCCAGGTAGTTGGTGTAGTCTTGCCCATCTGCACCTGGGGTGGGAGATGACCCAGGGGGGGCCTGGGCACCCAAATCCTCCTCTTGCCCACAGAGAGAGCAGATGTTTGCCGCCCAGGAAATGTTCAAGACAGCCAACAAGGTCACACGGCCCGAGAAAGCCCTCATCCTGGGCTTCATGGCTGGTTCCAGAGGTGTGTATGGGGCTGGGCCTGGGTGGTCCCCTGACTGGGTGGGGATGGGCTCCTTAGCCCCAGGCCCCTGCCCAGCAGCCCCTGCCCTCCACAGAGAACCCGTGCCAGGAGCAAGGGGACGTGATCCAGATCAAGCTGAGCGAGCACACAGAGGACCTGCCCAAGGCCGATGGCCAGGGCAGCACCACCATGCTGGTGGACACTGTGTTCGAGATGAACTACGCCACAGGCCAGTGGACACGCTTCAAGAAGTACAAGCCCATGACCAACGTATCCTGAGGATCACCTGCCTCTGCTGCTGGCCCTGGCTACATAGAGCTCTGAGGGACAAGGGCTTGGCAGAGCAGCCAGGGTTGATGCTGGCAGGCTGAGGCCCTGCCTGTGCCCGGCTGCCCACAGTGCTGTGGAGCCCCCAGCTTACTCAAGTTTTAGGTCTTTTCTCCGGTGTTTGGGGCTTATTTTTTATATTTTAATATGGGTTACTTTTTTTGTGTGATTTAAGATACTTTTTTGGATCCAATATTACAGTTTTGAATGTTCTAGTTAACCAAAAACGTTATAACTTCCCAATTTTAGTGCCTGTTAGACTTTTACCTTTTTTATTTTTTCTTAAATTCTACCGACTGAGTGTGAGAGCTTTTCCCTGCTAGTGCACCCTGTTCCGCAAGGTTGAGGGACCAAAGGTGGTACCTGGCGATGCTGCAGGGTGGCGACACTGCCCGGGCAATGCCAGAGGAGGCAGTGGGCCTCGCCTCGCCTCGCCTCCCATCAGCGTCTGCCCAGGAGTTTTGTATGTCTTTTGTATAGCTGTGGATACTTAGGACAAGCCTTTGGGTCCCTATTTTCATTGTAAGACTTTGAGTGATTAAAGTCCAGCTTTTCTAAAGGAGGCCCGCCGAGCTCTGTTTCAGGCCTGATCTCCCTGCCCCGGGGCCGCTCCTCCAGGCAGGAGGGTGGGTGTCGGCATGAGGGTCACACCAATGGCAAGGGCTGTGGTCACAGGCCCTACTGGGAAAGCAGAGGGCCCTGGGACTGCCCGGCTGCAGGGCCGGCCGGGAGAGGAGCAGACTGCCTCAGACCTTTTCACCTTGACTGGGACTTGGGACCAAATTATTTTTGAAGGAAGGAAACTTTTTTTTTTTTTCCTCCCCCAAAATCACAATTCCCTCTCTGACGTCCGGCATTCCCTATTTCCCAGGGTTCCAACCGCTTCCTCCCCCGCCAGGCAGAGGCGAATCGACTCCTGAGGTAGGAGCCTCCCTGGGCGGGACTGGGAACCCAGAGCAGCGGGAGATGGAAAGTCAACACAGTGCCACAGCAAATAAGTGAGGAGAGGGCCTTTGAAATTTTTTTAATACAAAAATACTCATACACAATTTTCCAAACACAACTTTTCACTTTAAATGCTATTTTTCCCCAACTGGCAATTCTCAGATCTATATTTCAGTATATTCCCCCCAAAATTTCAAGTTTTAAAGTCTAACTATCAAACCTGGTGATAGCACCCAGTGTTCCTAGAAGGAACCTGCACCTGCGTGAAGCTCAGACACCGACAGGCACACTTCACTGAGGGTTGGTTCATTCTGACGCGGCATCTCACTGCTCGACAGGCCACAGTGGCACCATGACGCCAACAGACAGCGCTCTACTCCACCAAGTCACCAGCTACACCTCTCACAGATGGAAATACTTGCAACTGACAACTGTTTGTGTACTTTAATTAAGACGACACGTTTCTTGAATCCTTGAAAATAAGGTGGTTCTAAAATACGGGCACATCATGGCTCAGGTGTCATGATAAAACATCTCAGAGGCCTCAAGAGCACCAACCTGTGTGCGCCCCGGGACCCAGGGAGGCCCGGGAGGCATCACTGGGGAAAGGAGGGCTGTCCCCAAGGATGGACAGCTGGATCCTCACTACTTTCATGCAAGACACACTTCCCCACAAGCCACACAATGGTGGGGCACCCCTGTCCTCACAGGCCAGTGCTGGCATGGGCAGGCACCAGGTTTGCACATGTGAGCTGCCTATGCATGGGGGTGTGCACAGGGCAGATCGAGGCTGACTCCTGATGCCAAGAATGCTGGGGCATCCGGCTGATTTCCATGTTGTACTTCACATTAACAAGAAAGAACTGAAGCTGATGTCTGGGAAGCCATCAAATCCTCAAAAGCAAATCCTCCCCCAGACTCAGAACGAACTTGGGCAGGTTGGAGCACCAGTCATGGCTGCATGCCTGGCCACTATCCCGAGGCCCTGTTTTACTCAGATTTATGAACTGATCTAATAGAGATTCTCAAAGTTAGTGTTATTTGCTCATTGTTTTTGAAAAGGGGAATCATTTAACATTTTTGCAGCATTTCCTTTAGGAAGCTTGAGTTTAATTTGGAGATATCAAAGTGACTTAAAAATCATAAAACTTTACTAACTGCCAATATAAAAATAAGTTAATCTGTTCCCCAAAGTGCATTGCAAAACCACTTCTCATGTTCGCTCGGCTGGTAGGAAGGTATCTTTTGGACAAGTGACAACACTGGTAGGCACCCATCTGAGGAGCCTGGGGCCTTGTGCTCCAAAGGCTGGGGCCGTGTGCATATGGGGATGCTACCTGGCCTGTCACCGAATAGCCTTCTGAATTCAAGGCATAAGGAGCAGAAAATCTGTGAACCAAATCCAGCATTTTCTGAGGACAGTTTGAGTGGAGTTAGGCCCTAAGTACAACCTCCCAAGGCCTAGCTGGTGGACCTGCTCATGTGGGAGCCACAGCCCACTGCAGAGCTGCTTGTTCTTTTGGTCCTTGATAAGGTTACTTTTGGGGACCATGATTGGAGAAAAGCAAAGGGATGGCTGCCGCTCAGCAAACTTCCTCCCACTGGGCGGTGCTGGGCCAACAGGCCCATACACCTGGTGCCCGAGTGCAGCCATAGCCCTGGAGAGCAGCCAGTCCTGGGTCCACAGGGCAGGACAGCCGCAGGCAAGACCTCTGCAGAAAGCAGTACCTGCCACCCGTGCACGCCCCCTCCTGCAGGATGCCTGCAGGTTCCCCCTTTCTCATGGTGCTCCATGCTCCCCGGGACAAACAAGAGGCACCCCCAGGAAGGAAGGACCAGGTCTTCCAGAGACAACTTAGTACTCCTCAGCTCTCTCTGTGGGTCTTTCAATAATTAAGAGCCAATTTTATCTCCAGGCCTGACCACCGGAGACCATGTGCTGCTGCTTGTGGTGCCCTTGGAGAGCGTGCAAGAGGAGCGTGGCTAGTGAGCCCACAGAGTAAAGGGAAGGCTCACTCCAGCCACGGAGTCCTGCTGCAGCCCCATGCCCTCAGCAGTCTGGCACACGCCCTGAGTGCACTGCCTCTGAAAGAGAACTCAGGGTCGCATCAGTGAGCACACGTTTCATTTGGTGGTGGTTTGTGAAACAGGTTTAGCAAGAATACATTGAGAATAAAAGCCAGATTAAAAAAGAAAAAGAAAAATCCAAATGAAAAAAAATATACAAAGTTTTCCCCTCAAATGTGGGTTAGAACCTAGTGTGTTCAGAAAGACCCAAAGGAGAAGTGGCCCACTATGAACACAGGCCACTCCTCGTGACCCGCACATCCACGGCAGGTATGTTACCAGCACTGGGTTCAAACCCACAGAGAGACGATGGCAGGAGAGCTTGCAACACACCACCACTTCCACGCTCCAGTGGGCCAGCCTGTCACCAGGATGGGAAGGAAGGAAGCATTCCAAGAAAAAATTCACATTAGTAAAAAAAAAAAAAAAAAAAAAGCTGTTTCCAAAGAGCAAAATGATCAGAACCATGGTCTGTGGGAACCAGGGCCTGAGTCCCGTCTCCTGAGTGGTGGCAGCACTGTGCAGAAGCCGAGCGGCGTGGGGCGGAGCAGGGACCCTGCAGAAAACACTACTCTACACGCTTCTGGTGAGATAAAGACATTTCACACACCCATTAATCTTCAATAGCAACTTCAGCCTAACAGAGCCTGGGAGGGAGCATGGACGTCCGCAGCGCCTCAGTGGCCTGGCGCTCTGGGCCAGGCTGGCTTGTCCGACTGTCCAGCTCATGGCTGGGAGGTTGTCAGTGCAGACAGCACAGCTGCGGGTGGCTCAGTGGGGAGGCGCTCCCTCCCTAGGAGGCCTGGACGTCTGTCGCGGCGGCTGCCAGCTGGGTCCCAGGGCGCTGCCATGCTTGCCCTCCCTGCAGGCAGGGTGGCTGCCCCACGCCACCCCTGGATTAGACCATGCCGCCACCTGGCGCTATTTGCCTTCCGTGACCCTCCGCCAACACCTCCTTTTCCTCCTCTTCCCCTTGGACTTGGTGGGCTCTGGAAAGTGTTTCTCAGTCTCGGCACTCCTGCCCGACTCTGCCCCCAAGTCATGCTCACAGCAGTAGGGCCGCCCATCCGGGGTGGAGCGGAAGGCTGTCCCGTCCTGGTGCTCCTTACAGAAAGAATTGGGGCAGAAGTGGCAGAACGAGGTAGAAGGCTTGCCACACACGTCACAGTGATGCCAGGGGCACTCCCACTTCCCTGCAACAAAGCACAGCGTCAGCAACAGGAGGGACAGCCGCAACCAGGTCTTCAGAGCTCACGTGCGTGGGTCTGAGCCCAGAGGCTCAAGCATGTGCTCCACCACTGAGCCACCTTACTTTTCTTACAAGAGAAATAAGTTGCCCGTGATGGCCTCAAACTCGCAATCAATTGGGAGCTCCCGCCTCCGCCTCTCAAGTAGTGGGGATCACAGGTGTGTACCATTCAAATCCAGGCTGAAAGGATTTCTAAAGCTGTCCAGTCAAGGGGCTGGGGCTGGGGCTCAGTGGGAGAAGCACTTGTCTCACATGTGTGAGGCACTGGGTTGTATTCTCAGCACCACATGTAAGTAAACGAATAAAACAAAGGTCCACCAAAAACTTAAAATATTAAAAACAAAACTGTCCAGTCAAATGCATGCAAGTTAGCACAGGACACTGTTTTTGTCCAACTGACAAAGAAAGGCTGCTACTACGCGTACCAGGGCCTGGAGCATGGGGGCCACGCGTGGGCCAGGAGGCGGCTCCCTGCGGTGAGCCCTGCCTGGTCTCCCACCCTGCGCCCTCCCTGCTCTGCAGCTGCCTGTTCAAAGAGCATCTTCTGCCCGGACACTGGCCTTTCTGGCATTAAACTGAAAAGGACTTTAGGTTAAGGGCAGCTATCACATCCACTGCAAATATTTCTCTCTATCTTTGTCCCTCAGGTGCAAGAGGGTCTCTTAATCTCTTCTGAAACACAGCAGTTTCACCCTGATGCTGGCACTTGCTTTGAAATAGCAGGGGTCGCAGGAGACAGACCCACTTCATCTTCCTCCAAATGACCATGTGGTCCATGCACTCCTAGCAGCTCCTCCTGATGCACCAGGTCACTGGGGAGTGTCCCCGCACATCCTGGCAGGGACTAAGGTGTGGTGCAGCCAGGCCAAGGATGCCATACAACTCAGGAGACCAGAGGAGCTGAGGCTGCTGCAGTGGACTCTTGGCACACACGAGGGAGGGCACCACTCCCAGTTGGGCTCCAGGACTTCCCTGTGGGGCTCTGGCAGGACCTCTGGACCGAGACAGTCACCACCCAAATGACCAACCAATTACTGGACAGACAAGGTCCATTCAGCAGAGAAGAGGTCCAGTGAGAGCAGCATCCCTGGATGGGCACCTACCGAAGGGCCGCTTGCCCAGGCCCAAGCAGCCCAGGTGATAGGCCTTGGTGCACAGCTTGCGGTCACACAGCACCAGTTGGCCACCGTCACCACAGCGGAAGCACTCGTCCTCAGACCGCCTCTTTCCTTCCCCCTTGGCTCTGCGCCGCCTCGTTTTCTTCTTGGTCTTCTTGCCCTTTTCCTCTGCTGAAAGGGATGCTGAGGTCTAGAGTCAGAAAGGAGTACAGTTCACTTAGAAGAGCCACATGCCTGGGGCAGAGCGCTTGCCCCAGGCCCATCCCCAGCACCCAGGAAGAGAGAAACCAGAGGACTGCGCAGACTCCAACAGGAAGTAGTGAATCAAAGAGCCCCCAGGGGCGGGGCGGGAACTCTGAAGACAATCAGGTCTCCTGCAGAGGGGACGGCCACACCCAGACAGCTCCCCCACCCGCAGGCCCCTCTGGCCCATCGCCAAGAGCTCGGCCAAGAATAAGCCCAGTGCTGTTGGCAGCCTCCAGGAATGACATGCAGCCCTGGCTGGACTGGCTGATGGGGCACAGGGCCCCAGGCTCGCCTGCGGGAGAAGAGGGAGAACCCAGAGCCCAGGCTGCCCCTGTGAAGGGAATGGGTGAGGGCAGCAGCAATCCAAAAGCTGGGCTCAGGCCAGGTTCTGCACAGTTGGGAAGAAGTGACTGCCCCGACCAGTGTCCTGCAGCCTCTTTCTGCAGCCTCAGAAAGTGGCCTTGCTGGAAGCAGGGTTGCTGCAGATGTAGCTGGGGTGAGGTCCCACTGGAGCGGGGCCCTGTGTGGAGCACGGCTGGTGACAAGGTGATGGGCCAGGCCAGGCCCTGGGTTCTGTGCCCAGCACCACAATAAAGGCGGGAGGTCTGGACACAGCCACACCTGGGGGAGGAGGCCGAGGCGGAGGCTGAGGCCGGCTGATTCCTGTGCAGGCCAAGGAGGGCTGCGGCCACCACCAGGAGCTGGCAAGGCCCGAGACAGCCCTTCCCACGGAGCTCTGAGGTGCTGTGGCCCTGCCCATGCCCTGTACCCAGCCATCTGGCCGTCATCACCAGTGGGGTGTTTGGCTGCAACAGCCACAGCACAAGCCTCAGCCCACAGCACAAGCCCCTTCAAAGAGAATGCTGTCCCCTGAAGGCATACCTGTGACGGTAAGGCCACCAGCAGCTAAGAAGTACCTGGGCTTCATGGAAGGAAGTCACAAAGACCTCACCTTTGGTCTGTCCCCAAGGAATCCACTGCAATTGGAGGCTCCACACCGACAGACCGTTTTCTCGTTGCCGAGACAGTCGAGGTTGTAATTAAAAGTCAATTCTGTCCCTGTGAGGAGAGAAGACGCAGCACACTGCAGAGCGCCCCGCCCCGGCAGTGCAAGGGGCCACAGCCAGTCTGCAGGGTTTCCGGCCGTTCTCACATCTACACTGCACCACTGAGGTCTACGAAACAGACGATCAAAACAAGGCTTCAGCTCACCACCTCCCACCCCCGCCACAGCCTGTGCCCAGCTACCACTTCTGCCTGAACAACCAGGAGTGTCCACGCTGTCCCCAAGTACCCGCAGGGATGTCGCACACAGCAAACAGGCCCACTCGCGTGTCACCATTCACGGTCCACTTGAGGGTCTCACAGTTGGGCTGGCAGCTGTGGTTCATAAATCGAGAATAGTTTCCTTTGGGGCCAGCATCAATTATACGATCCTACAGGGTTAAAAAAAAAAAAAAACAAGCTGAGCGGATGGCTCCACTCTGAGCAACTGCTACCTTCTTAACGGGAACTCTCGCGGTCCTAAGTGAGGCTGGACTAGTGCCAGTTGTGCTGGCAGCTGTGGTGTCCTGCGTCTGTGGGACACCCCAAACCAGTCCTGAATCTCTCTCTCACAGAGGGTGGGTTGGAACGACTCAGAGGAGTGTGCCCGGCAAGCACGGGGCAAAGGGAAGCCAGCCCACGCCTGCACCACCTTGCACAAGGACATGCACAAGGACATGCACAAGGCTGCAGGGGCATGAGCGTCACTGCCAGGCAGCAGCCAGACTGCCCAACCAAGCACAGGCCAAACACAAAGCCAGGCCGACTGCGCAGATAAAGAGGCGTCTGTTGAGGCAGCAGGCCAGGGACTGACGGCATCCACAAGAGCCGTACGCTGGCTAGTGAGGGAGGGACAGCATGGATGGCTTTGAGAAAGCACTCTCACAGAAGCCCTGGAAATCAGAAATACAAGCTCACTGTGGCCCTGGGAATTGTCTCACTGAAACCCAGGCTCCCGTGGCAAGAGGGAAATGGCATCTACCTGTAGTGGCCCACTCTGGAGAGACACCTCTGCCCAAAAGCAGGGAGGACAGACAGCCGCTCAGGCTCCAGCTGCATACAGTGGCAACAGCTAGACCAACTACACAATTGGTGGGTCCCTGCTCTGTGAGAGGTACCTAAGAGGCACAATTCTGAGCTGGTGCAAATGGGGATGAGTAGGTGTCCACAGATGCCCACTGACCCACGTCGAGGGCCCAAGAGCTCGGTGCAGAGGAGGCACAGCCCTGGGTGCCTCTCCAGGGGACCCTGTTGCTCTCTCACCCCTAACAATCTAGCCACACTGGTTGTTCCTTTGCAAACAGAAAGCTAGGCACAGAGGTGCACACCTGCAATCCCAGTGACTCAGGAGGCTGAGGCAGGAGGATTTCAAGTTCCAGGCCAGCCTCAGCAACTTAGTGAGACCCTAAGCAACTTAGCAAGACCTGTCTCAAAAACAATAGAAATAAGATCAGAACATAGATGCTCACTATACAAGATGTAACAACCTTGTACAGCAAAACTCTAGCCTGAGTTTCTGGGTCCTTCCCACAGCTGCAAGGTGTTCAGGACGTTCCTTGACAGGCAGGCATGGAGCCATCCGCCCGCCCATGGTGAACTATTAGGCTCTCTACTGTGCTGATGCTGAGGTCCCTGGGGCTCACCTACCACCCAGGCTTGGTGCACTCAGGCTCCCCCACCACGCTCTGGACGGCGAAGGGCCTCAGGCAGAGGGCAGAACCTGGCCATGCACATCACAGCTCAGTGCGGGGCTCAGCACTGTCTCCTCCTTCCCACCTGTGCACGGCCTGCTTTACTTATCTGAAGACGCTGTCCATTCAAAACGTCAGACCTTTCGCAGTGAGTAGCATGACCCTCATCACAGGGCACCTCTCCACAAAATTCTCAGATCTCAGCCAGGACCCCTGGCTGCACTCGTGCAGGCTTTGCCCAGCACCCTGACCCAGTTTTCCCTGCCCCTCAGTGCATCTGAAACATACAGGTGCAGTGTGAGGAGGCACCTGCACTTGCTGAGTGGACAGCCCTGGGCCAGGGCCTGGTCTCCCACAGCCAGCTGTCATGCAGTGGAGAGCTCCAAGACCCCCCAGGACACGCCCAGCCTTCAGCTGCAAGGCAAAGGTCCAAGGCCGACTTCCATGTGGACTCAGAGTTACCTTCTTAACGGGAACTCTCGCGGTCCTAAGTGAGGCTGGACTAGCGTCAGTTGTGCTGGCAGCTGTGGTGTCCTGCGTCTGGGACACCTCAAACCAATCCTGATTCTCTCACTCACAGAGGGTGGGTTGGAACGACTTGGAGAAGTGAGCCCAGCAAGCACGGGGCAAAGGAAAGCCATCACCAAGGTCATGAAGTGCCCACAGTGGAGACCCTGTGACCCTGCGTGCTGATCACGCCGTCCTGCCTGGCCCACAGTGAGACCCCGAGGCTGCTTCCACACACACCACTCCCGTGGCTCTGCTTGGCTTCCCCACACTGCCTATGCTGCCCTCCCCCATCAGCATCCTCAGTCCACCACAAGGTCAGGGACGGTGCCCACCCACCCCCTCCCCGGCTCTACACCACTCTCGTCAGCAGCACTCCCCCAAAGCCCCCCCTCCACTCTAAAGCATGCTTGGAGCTTCAGGACAGCAGGACCCCCCATGGAGACGCAGCCCAAGACCCCCCCCCGCCACGACTCTGAAGCCCACATGAGCGGGGGCGTCTTCCTGCACAGCCTGCCTCTGGAGGAGGTGAGCACATGACCAGGGCAGTCATGGCCCCACATGTAGACATACTGGACAGAGGGATGGGTCAGAGTGGGAGAGCCTAAGAGTTCAGCACACTGCACAGAATGGCTGGCAACGACCCACATGGGTCATTTCTGGAATTTTCTTGGACTGTTTTCAGTTACCTTACTGCAGGAAGCAAGACGACACTAGGGATTGGGGCACTGCTGTCCTTGACTGGGAAGCCCTGATCCAGTGAGGGCAGCACCTCGAGACCTGTGTGCCTGGTCTCTCCACGTCAGGACTCACTGGACAACAGTAAATCCACCAGCTATGTCAGTTCATCAGCTTCGATTCCCCAAGTGCCACCAACTCTGCTTGGAAGTTGTGACCGTGGCAACTGCAAGCTCTTTATTCCACTTCAGTCTCAATCACAAAACTCCATACTCCCAAACCACACAGCACATGCTGTACAATGACACACAGGCCACACGAAGGCCACGAACCAGGGAGGCCGCAGGATTTAAAGAGGCAGCACCAAGGGCAGAGGCCCAGAGTCCGGGGTGGGGTTTTGAGCAGTCGCAGCTCTTGAGAAAGGGTCTGGACAGCACTTTCCTAGGACCTGATGAGCGACTCCAGGAAGTCAGAACCTCTCCCCTGGAGTCCCTGGTGCTACAGGTGGGGGCTGCCAGTATAAGGAGCCCTGCCAGAGTTGCCCTCCTTTTATGGGTCCTGGAAGAGCTGGAGGCCCATCCACTGGTCTGGGGTCTCCCTCATGTTCAAAGACCTGACTTCTTTGGTGTTAAGGTATCTGCAGTCTGTGTCCTAAGACCAAGGAGCTCTGTGGCTGGTGCCATACCTCTGCAGACAAGATGCCACCAGCCGCTCCGGCAGAAAAGCCTGGACAGAGCCAGTCAGAGCAGGAGAGCCCACTCACACCAGTCCTGCTGCTGCAACTGCCCCTTGTCCTCCTGGGTACTGGGTACTCACCCTTCAGTGGCTGCTTCAGGAAGGGTTCAGCCTGCACTGTTTCTGACATTCAACCTACTTCTCTGCAGATGTGATGCTAAAGTTGCACCAGGCTGAACTGCGTCCAGGCAGTAGGTGCTGGGGTCCCATCCCTGAACACCGAGGCGGTTTCGAGAAGCTTCTGCAAGGTCTCACTCTGTGAGTTTCATAAGCCGCTGAATTTCACATCTAACTACCAAAGGGGTCTCTATTCAACCCTGCGATTAAGCTCTCCATGTTGACAGTGCTGGACTGACTTCCCTGGAACACCAGACTCCACTTCTCAAGTCCAACTCTCCTCTCTTCCTTTATTACTTGGTCTAAGTCCTGTCTGTGGCCAGCTGTGTGTCTGAAGTGAGGAGGTCAGCAAGCCACCAAATGCCAGGCAAGAGCTGTCCGAGTGCTCGGGGCCTCGGGCTGCCCACACCGAGCCCGTCTGTGGTGCCTGCCACATGCTCGGTTTCCGTCTCCAGTTGGGGCATCCTGCAGGCTTTTCTGCTCCCCCACTTTCCTGTCGGTGCACTACAGTTATACCTAACGGTGGACCTGTCACTACAGACTGGTACATGCACAGAGTGCAACAGTACCATCGGGCCAAGGTCCTGCAGGTTTTTCTTGTTTTGTTTTTTACCATGCTCAATTCCTGGTAAGTTTCATCAGGAAAATGATGTATGTTCCAGACTCCTGAAACCCTCTCCTCACACCACCCCTCCACTCCATCTATAGACTTCTCTACTTTTTTTGTTGTTGTTGTTGTTATTGTTTTTGTTTTTGTTAGGGCACTAAACCACTGAGTCACATCCCCAGCCATGAGAGTGAGTGTGTGTGTGTGTGTGTGAGAGAGAGAGAGACAGAGAGACAGAGAGACAGAGTAAGAGGTGTGTCCATAAAAAGGGTTATGGGCACACAGCCCCTTTTATTTTTTAAGACAGAGTCACTAAGTTGCTAAGGCTGGTGTCAGACTTGCAACCCTCCTGCCGTGCCTCTGAGTTGCTGGGACTACGGAGTGCACACCACACTTGGCTCTAGAGACAGTTTTAAGCAGTCATTCTAAAGGCCTTGTCTAGGGGCTGGACTTGTGACTCAGTGGCAGAGCGCTTGCCTCGCACATGTGAGACACTAGGTTCGATCCTCAGCACCACATAAAAATGAATCAACAAAATAGATACTGCATCTGTCTATAACTAAAAAATATTAAAAAAAAAAAAAACCTTGTCTAGAGATCCGTCAATGGGTTTTTTTTTTTTTAAGAGAGTTCCCATTGGTTTATTTTTTTCCTTGAAACGGGCCATACTTCCCTGGTTCTCTGCAGGCCTTGTGATTTCCTAAAGTGTACATCCCAGTCTTCATTACACGGCAACTCTGGAAATCAGACTCTCCTTGTTCCCCTAGGTGGCTGTTTGTTGTCAGTCAGTGTGTTGTGTGCTGTGTCTGTGTCAAGGGTGGGCCTGGGTCTCCCAGGTCATTGTTGAGCCTGCACCTATCCCTGGGAGGATGCGTGAACTCTCTGTGCTGCTAGTTCTGAATGTCCTGGTCTCTGATATCTGACTCCCTGAAGGGAAAAGAGAAGAGGAAGGCGGGGAGGGCAGCAGGCGGAGGGCTGAGCAGAAGAGCAAGGGCAGGAGGCGCCACCCTCTCCTCTTCAAGGTGTCCAGGACAGGGTCCTTGCTGCCAAACAGGCCTCCTGAATCAGTCAGATGCAGCCATGATGTGAGACACACTGTGAATGACCAGGCTGTTGCGTTTCCTCTGAAAACCAGGCAGAAGTGGACACGAGCCCTGCCAACACGTGTGCAGAGGGTGTGACCGTGAGCAGGACCTTAGGAGTTGCCTGGTGAGGTCCTTCAGCCTGGGAAGGGAGGCGGGCCAGGCAGTCCCTGGCACATACTAACAGCCCTGCCCTAGGCTGCGGGGACCACCCAAGAGCACTCCCATCTCCTCCCCCTGCTGATGATGCCCCTGAAGAGCTGGCTGCAGGTCACCTCAGAAATTGCTCACTTAGAGCAGCAACTGTACAAATTCTGGCAGCACCCTTTAAGGGAGTTTGAGTGTTAGTATTTGTTTGTTCTGTTTTGGTTTTGGGTAGTTGTGGATGGACAGTATGCCTTTGTTTATTTCGATGTGTTGCTGAGGATCCAACCCAGTGCCTCCCACATGCCAAGCAAGCCCTCTGCCACTGATCTACAGCCACAGCCCAAGCGTCAGTTTTAATAGATATCTCCCAAGCAACATGAGTCATTAAGGCTGCTCTAGGGATACATGCAGCTGCCGCCACAGGCTGGAGCTGGGCACTAGAAAGCTGGTACTCTGCTGAGACCTGATACTGACACAGAATTCACACCATTTACCACCCAGGCCCTTCCCTGAAAGCTGCAGGCCCTCGAGAGTCCACAGTGGCCACACCAGGCAGCTCCTCGATGAAGATCCTGCTCACAGTCACACCCTCTACACACGTGTTGGCAGGGCTTGTGTCCACTTCCACCTGGTTTTCAGAGGAAACGCACCAGCCTGGTCATTCAGAGCATATCTCACATCATGGCTGCATCTTTGCTCCAGCCCATTCTTCCAGGTCAAGTCCACCATGAATGATTTCAGTTCTTCTCCATGTGTGACTTGGCCTTTCCTACTACACTCTTGTCACTGAAATTCAGACTCTGAAATTTAGTAAGGCACAGGCCTACAGTTTTAATTTCTTAATTTCTTTTTTTATATTTATTTTTTCAGTTGTAGGTGGACACAATATCTTTTTTTTTATTTTTATGTGGTGCTGAGAACCGAACCCAATGCCTCACGCATGCTAGGCGAGCGCGCTACCACTTGAGCCACTTGTAGCCACATCCCCAGCCCTACAGTTTTAATTCCTAACAAAATAATCTTCCCCCAAAACATACCAAATAAAAGGCTATCTGCTACCTTTTGGGACAAATTTATTGAACCCTTTCTTAGCACTGTGGCCACCAGGCCTCTGAGCAGGCCCTTGTCGCTGGTCCCAGGGGAGGTCTCAACAAGTGCTGAGAACCCGGAGGAGGAAGGGCTACCCGCCTCTCCAGTCCCAGGACCCACAGATTTTTCAACCAATTATTTTGTTTTAAAAATTTCAACCCTACATAAAAAAGAAATAGCACAGTGCCCCTGTGCACCTACTCTCACACGCAGTACGACATTTTACTCTGCTTGCTTTCTCTCAACTCTTGCACGTGTGCACGGACATAAATACGTGTTCATCTATGGACTGACACAATTTTCTTGCTTGCTTTTTTTTGGTTGGGGGAGGTAGGGAGCAGTACTGGGAATTGAACCCAGGGTGCTCTACCACTGAGCTATAACCGCCCCCAGCTGTTTTTATTTTTTTCTTGGTACCAGACAGAGATTGAACTGAGGGGCACTCAATATGTGAGTCACACCCCCAGCCCTACTTTGTATTTTACTTAGAAACAGGGTCTGAGTTGCTTAGCACCTCACCATTGCTAAGACTGGCTTTGAACTCACGATCCTCCTGCCTCAGCCTCCCGAGCTGCTGGGATTACAGGCCTGCACCATTGTGCCTGGCAGCCCTTTTTATTTTTGAGTTCTGACTAGGTTGTCCAGGATGACCTTGAAGTTGGGATCCTCCTGCCTCAGCCTCCTGAGCATCTGGGTAACAGGTGTGTGCACCACAACCAGCTGCACACCCATTTTCTCCCTGGTTCCTTGAAGGTGTATGTGGCCACCACCCAGTGTATCTGACACACACACGCGCGCTCCAGGCACCATTGCAGGCTCGCTCCCTTGCTGGGCCTTGGCACCTCCTGCACCTGAGATGTAACATCAAGAACAGTTTCCTGAGCTGGGGACATGGTTCAGTTGGTAGAGTGCTTGCCTTGCGGGCACAAGGCCCTGGGTTCAAACCCCAGAACCACCCCCCTACACACACACACACACACACAAAGAAAACAATTTCCTGCCCAAACAGACTCCCTGACTGTTTTCAAAATGTCATTTATAGTTCCCAACACAGGCCCCCCGCCCGCCCCACCACTCAAACCCCTGCCTGCTTAAAGCTCTGATCACGAAGCACACACCTGCTCTGGGTATCCCTTTAGTCTCTTTTAACCCAGAGTCTTCTGTCCTTGGCGACACTGGCCGTGTTGAAGGCCTAGGGCTATGACCTGTGGCACATGACGTGGAGCCTAGGACTCACCTACTGCCTTTCCCAGGGCTGCCCAAAGGGCCCCATGAACCATCCTCATGTCCATAGTGGCCTCTTTTTTCCAGGTATCACCACATCTCTGACTTCTATGAATTATTCAGAAATTTTTGCCTCTGATCATTCTCTATCTGGTTTTTAAGGACTACTATTAACCTAGTCTTTTAAAAACAGCCACACTTTTCTAAGGCTATGGGCTTACTGGCAACAAGAGGCACAAACTCTGTGAACCTTCCTCTCCCAGCACACAGGCAGTGAGGAGCAGAGCTGGGCAGGCCCAGCCCTGGGCAAGCCCTCCACCTGGCAGCGGGGGCCCGGTCACCTTGTCTATGGTGAGCATGTAGAAGTGGGTGATGTCGTTCTCCTGTGCCTGCTTGATCCTCGCCATGCACTCCTCCTCGTCAATCAGCTCGCCAACATACTCATTAACGAATTCTCCCTGGAAATCAGAAAGATGTGGTGAGGAGGAGCCTCTGAGCCCATCCCGTGTCAGGCTCAACACATTATGTCACCATCAGTGGACATGAAGCCATAGGCGTGGTGGCTCTTGGATGGCCTCACAGAGTGCTTATCAGTTCAGATAAGTCCAAGTGACCTCACACTTATCTTATGAATAAAGACTGTCAATGACCAACTTATTCAAGTGTTTCTGAGGCAGCAGCGTTCCGAACCTCCTTCCTTGGTGTCTTTCTTCTGAGGAGCACCTCTGTTAGGCCAGTGTCCATCTACGTCACTGTCATATGCAGATTCCCACAAAAGGAAAAATGGCTCAACTTGCCAGGCTCCTCAACAAGTGAGGCAGGAGAAGGAGCGAAGTTGCAGGAGGTACTGGGCGTGAACCTGGGGTCTGGAATCTCCTGCCTGGGCCATGCTAAAGCAGGCCAGGGCCAGGCAGCAGCAAGACAAGCAGCCCATCTGCCCTTCCACATCCTGGATACACTTGGTCCTTCAGCCTGAGAAGGGAGGCAGGCCAGGCAGTCCCTGGCACATACTAACAGCCCTGCCCTAGGCTGCGGGGACCACCCAAGAGCACTCCCATCTCCTCCCCCTGCTGATGATGCCCCTGAAGAGCTGGCTGCAGGTCACCTCAGAAATTGCTCACTTAGAGCAGCAACTGTACAAATTCTGGCAGCACCCTTTAAGGGAGTTTGAGTGTTAGTATTTGTTTGTTCTGTTTTGGTTTTGGGTAGTTGTGGATGGACAGTATGCCTTTGTTTATTTCGATGTGTTGCTGAGGATCTAACCCAGTGCCTCCCACATGCCAGGCAAGCCCTCTGCCACTGATCTACAGCCACAGCCCGAGCGTCAGTTTCGACAGGTATCTTCCAAGCAACATTTTTCAAAATTCACTAATAACTTAAAAAAAATTTTTTTTTAACATCATTCATTCTCACATGAGTGCCAACACACAATAAGCAAATCTACGTAATCAGTGAACCCTGATTCCTGGGAAGCAGGGAGAAGGGCCCAACACACACCTTCCTGATGTCCCTCTTGGCCACCAGGCCCCAGCCCTTGCCATCGGTCCTGATGATCTTGGTCTCGGGGTACTGGCGCTTGGTGAAGCACTGGTTCTGGCAGTGCTCGCCCGCGGGACACACCTGCGGGTGGCACTCGAACATCAGCATCCTGTTCAGACACTCAGAGTCAAAGCCACAGGGGTTCTCGTCTGTGGGCTTGCAGTTGCACTTCGGGATTTCGGAAATATCGGCTGTATAAATCTGGACCTTCCCATAAGGCTTATTCACCTGCAGGATAAAGTGATGTGTCTTGGCCCCATGTACACAGAGCCTCGAGCCCTGCACCCAGGCCGGCGCCTCCAGACAGGACATGCTCCTTCAGTCCTCACCCAGACCCCTCCCATTTCCATCCTAGTGGCTGTGGTCTCTGGTTATGCAGTCAGCTGTGGTCTTAGGAAGACTGCTCAGCAGAGGTCCTCCCAGTGCTTGGCAAGAGCCCTCGGTGGCAGCCTCCCTCCTCTATGCCCATCTGATTCCAACCCGCCCTCAGCCAAGCACCACAGTAGCCAGGCAGAGGGCACCCAGCAAATGTCGGCAGGAGGGCACGGTCTCTGCCCCAGCCTGAGTCTACCCCTGATGAAGAAGGTGCCCAAACAGTAAAGGCCCAGAGAGATGACAAGAACTGGGGCAGGAATCAGTGGCTCCAGCTCAATGCAGTGGTTAAGAGGCACCCCTGCTGTTGCTGCAGGCAGCAAAGGACAACGATGCCATCAACCTGGAAACGTGCCCAGAATCTGGTTCTGTTTCTGGAATCATCCCAAATGCAGCACTGAGTACAGATGAGTACAGAGAATACTTCTTTACACAGAGATATGACTACACCCCAGATTTTAGAAGCAAAGACAGAACACTTGAGTCAGCTATGAGGTGGCATCACCCTTGTGTCCAGGTGGGCCTGGCACTGAGGAAGGGCAAGTCTCCACACCCACATGCAGCCTCTTGCAGGCATCTGCTCGGCACAGCCAGGCCCATCCTCTATCTCTCTCTCTTCAAGCGGGGGGCCCCCCGGCCAACAGGTGCTGAGCACCGGCCAGACAGGCACCTCTCACCTGTGCTGCATTGGTGGCAGCATGGCCCAGCTGGAAGGGCCACCCACTGTGGCCCGCCTCAGGGCTGGCATTCCACCTCTCCTCTGTTTATGGGTTGAGCCCAAGCAGCCTCCTGGACCTCCCCACACACATCCTGGGCAAACAGGGCCTGTGCTCAGTAGAAACTAAGTCTCTCTGTCTACGGCTCTGGGCAGCCAGACACAGCTCACAGCAGCCCTCTCACCAGCTGCAGCCCGGGTGTGACGATGTGCAGCCTCAGAGCCTACCCTGAGCTGCTTGGAGAATGTGGTGCACGCAGCCCTGGCACGCACCTTGATGTGCTTATATGGTGGGGGCTTGCGCTCGCTTTCCTGCGTTTCTCGGGCTTCCCGCTGAAGTTTGATTTCACGAAAACGAGCTTCAGCTTCTTGCAATGCTAAAGAGTCAATAAAATATGAAAAAGATCTCTTAGTAGGTAAATACTTCTACCTTCAAGCTCTACATTTTAATGGCTTACTCTAAACTCTCACTGGTGAATTCAGTTTCTGGTTTCCATGAATCTAAAGATTACAGAAAGCTCTGAAAGGGGAGGTTTATAAGACATGGCCAAAAATGCAAAAGAGCAGCGCACTCCTGTGATCCTAGCAGCTTAGGAGGTTGAGGCAGGAGGATCTCAAGTTCAAAGCCAGCCTCAGAAACCAAGCAATATCCTGTCTTAAAAAACTAAATAAATAAGGCTGGGGATGGGGCTCAGAAGTTAAGTACCCCTGGTTCAGTCAACCCACGGTACCAGAAACAAACGAGTGCAGAAGACAGAGGAGCGCTGCAAGACCATCTGTGACCAGAGGGCAGGGCAGGGCAGGGCAGGGCAGCCTTGAACAGCGCCAGGAGGCCCAGCGGGAGGCTCTGCCAGCTCCCCACCCTGCACTAAGGTCTGAGGACAAAGCACACCAGCCATGGGGCTCTGGGCCTACTGTCCTGAGACAGCAAACAAAAACACCTCTGCTCCTCTCAAATAAGAGGGCTCCGAGTGGAGAGCGGCCCCGGCTGGCGCATAGACGGCGCCGGCTCCCAAGGCTGCTTGGCACTGGCTCTGCAGGGTGCCGGACGCCAGCCAGGAGCCGCATCTCGCTCGCCAGCCAGGCCACACCACACCCAGGAGCTTCTCTCTCTCTCTCCCAGACCTTCAAGAGTCTTTGGATGCCTACCTGTTCTTATTCAGAACTCTGGGAGCCCCATGTGCTGAGGTCCTGAAGGAGAAGTTATTGGCTGCCGCTGGCCAGCGCACCCACAAACTCTCAACAGGCCCAGGCCCCTCCTGCCACACACACAGGTCCTGCAGCTCCAGCTGACCCTGCATGAGCCGCAGCAAGACTTTCCCTGTATCTTAGCACTCTCGACCTAGCCTAAGCGCCAGTCCCGCCTGTGGAACAGCCTTTCCACCCTGTCTCCCTCCTGCCTGGGTCATGGCAGCCTCACCAAATGCTGCTCCCAACTGCCTCCCAGCTTGACTGCACAACCAGTGCCCCACCCACCTGACTCTGCGTGGTCTGCTGAAGGGCAGGGTGGCTGCTAAGCTTCCGGGCCCCTGGTCCAAAAAGCAGAGACCCCTCCACATCTGCCTCTGCAGAGGCCAGCTGGGGAAAGTGTCCGCCAGGACTGAGGACAAGGTGGGCTGAGCAGCTTCGCTGCTCCACACAGTACTGCTCATGGAGCACCCCCGCCTGCCCAGCAGCGTGACCCACTCCATGCATCAGCAGGCACGCCAGTCCGCAGACTGCCTGCCTTCTAACTCAGAGAATGCTTAGTCCAGTGTTTTCTACAAACATCAAGTTTCTAAAGAGCAGAAAGGATGATTAGCAAAAGGCACACAGAGAGCTGTCCTGCTCCCTACAGGAGACTTCCGTACCGTTTTTGAAGACTCTTCCGATCCCTCTGACCCCATGGTAGCGGCTGCCCCGGTCCCCCTCCATGTACGGGAACACTCGCGCCTGATGCGTCCAGTAATAATCTTTAGACCCAAAGAAAAACACAGGGAATTCTCCAATCTCGTGCTTCATTTTCTGAATATTTGGGGGAACATTTTTGGGATGGCAAACTTCTGCCGGCCACCATCTATTATAAATATTAAAAACAGGGTTCACAGACTCTTCAGAGAGAGCGGCAATCATTTCAATGCTTTTAAGTACTGTAAAGTCAAACAGACACACGTGAACAGAGAAAGACAAGAGCACAGGGCTGTCCTCACACCTGTAGTTCCCCAGTTTGACCCAGACGATGTCCTGGAAGTGCAGCCTCTTGCCTGCCCTACAGTCGTTGCAGAACCAGCTGCCGTCGGGCATCTCAATGCTGAGGCAGTCGGGGTGGAAGGCTGCTGGGCAGGCCTCGCAGCACAGCAGGCTGCCCCCTGCAAGAGTGGGCGCAGGGTGAGCCTGCTTCCCTGGGCCTCGGCTCCGTCCTGCCGCTCCAGGCCAGGCAGCACCCTGCCAGCACAGACCCAGCCCTGAGGGCGGGCAGGCCAGCAGGCCAGCAGCGAGTCTAGGTACATTACAACACACTGCCCAAAGTGGAGCAGGCCCACAGGGCAGAGGCCCCTCACCTTTGGAGCACACGAAGCACCAGCTGACATTGACATGGGTGTGGTGCCGCTTTCCCTTCCGAGCGGTGAAGTGGCCCGTGCAGATGATGCTGTTGGACGCAATCACCGTGCACCCTGCTGCCAGACAGGCGTCCCCTCCATGGTAGGCAACAGGGCATCGCACACAGCGCATCATCTTCCCTGAGGGCGAGAACACCCTGAGGATCCCGGTGGCTGCTACCAACCTGATGGCAATCAGGACACCGCAGAAACCCAGAGAGCCTGTGAAGGCACCACCTCCAGGTGACAGAAGGTACTCAGGACAGACTGCAGGGTAGCTCCCAGATGCCATACCCTCAGTCTGGGCATGGCAGGCACTGGAAGGGCTGTCCTGCACACTGTCCGACCCTCCCTGCCAGAAGCCAGGAGCTTGTCCCCCAAACATCCCCAGGCATTGCCACCCCCAGGGGAGAAGCCCTGGTGCCCTCAGCCCAGACAGCTGCCCTGAAATGCTAGCTCAGATGTAATCCCATCCAAGAATGTTTCCTGGGTTCATGAGGTGCCCTGACAGCCAGAACCCATCAGGGGCCCTATGGGTCCCCAACTCTTAAAACCAAGAACCCTCAAGACAATTTTGGGATAAAAAGGGGAGGAGGGTACAAGTGGGGGCAGGTCTGGCAGTGAAGAAATCCCAGCAACCAGCTTTGCATCCAGTACCAAGAGGAGGGGAAGCTGCTGGAGGCGAAGCCCCTGACCTCTGGCAACAAGCCCAGCATGCCCCGCGGGAGGGAGCCAGGCACAGCCTACCTTTCGCCGGCCTTGGATGTGAGGGGTTGGAGGCATGGCAGCTCACGCAGCTGTGCAGGGGGCAGCGAAAGCCCCGGCTCTCAAACACAGTCAGAGGGAACTTCCTCACACAAGCCTCATGGTAGAACTTCCCACACTGAGTCACAACGCAGCGCCTCACCTCCATCTTGCTCTCTTTGCACACGAAGCATGAGTGGACCCCTAATAGCCAGTCAGGGAGGGAGAGAGGAGGGTGCCAAGAATTCAACTGTGGTTCCAGGCTGCCAGAGCCCAGCTGCACTCTGCCCCACCTGCCCATGGGGGCACCTGGCTCTCTCCAACCTTGCTGACTTTATCCTCATCGGGATAAAGCCAGCTGTGAAGAGTGACCCTGCAGCTACTGGGCTCCAGCTTCCCCTCAAACACAGGGAAGTCCTACCACGCGCCAGGGGCCCCTCCCTGACCGTGGTGAAGGGCCGCTCACAGACGCAGGCCGCAGTACCCCATGCAAGGTGTTCCTTGGGTTCCCACCTAGGCTGCTTTGACAACAGCCAAGGACGCCTCAGGCTTGCTGTGCAGTTGTCCTGCCATGGTGACCCCAAACAGGCAGCAGGACAAAGGCACTGACCAGTTGGGCAAGCCTGGATCCACCTGCTGTTGAAAGGGAAGCTCAGAATAATGCATTCCGTCCCTACCAATGACAGTGTTCTGTGACCAACCAGGTGACCTGGCTAAGAAGGCTGGCTGTCCACAGGTAAAGTGAGTTCAGGCCCACAGGGGGACATGCAGGGGCCCAGCCACCATCAGACTCCACCAGTCACTGTGCCCTAAACTATATGCAGAGTGCTAGGGTGGCACTCACACCCTGAGCCTCCCACCTGCTGGAGGGCACCCAGGGAGCAGGCTGCAGGTGGGAGGGGCATGCTCTCTGCTGATGTCTGGGCTTGGCTGCTGCAGGGAGGCGGGAGCAGGAGGCGGTGCAGCAGCACTGCTCTGGGCAGGAGGGGAAGCCACAACTTGCCTGAGGCACACTCGCTGCAGGTGAACCTCCCTTCCGGTCTCCGGGAGAGGCCCAGGCAGGTGAGGTGAAAAGCCCCACAGCAGGGCCCTTCACACAGCAGGAGGCTGCCCGTCTTCTCGCACAGCTGTGGGACAGAACAGGCAGCATGAACCACACAGAGCAGGAGCTCCTTCTGTGTCCTGCTTACCCTGCGGCTGAAAAGAAGCCATGAAGAGAAGCAACCATGATGAGTTCAGGGTCACATCAGAGCCAGGTGACACAGTGGTCAGTCCCTCAGCAGAGGCTAATGATACAACAGGCCCCAAACCCTGAAGGCACACTCACAGGTACTTGAGCTGGGCAAGGAAATCAACAAACCCCAAGGCATGTTTTCATCCTGTCAGAGGGGACAGGCTCCAAGCAAGCAGCACGCCAGACACTGCCAGGCCCCATCACCAGGCATTACCACTCGAGGGACCCGGGCGTGCCTGGTGCACAGTGCCACATCAGCCCAGAGCTGGCCTGGGCAACTCACACATCACACGCCCCACGTCCCTCCGGCACAGTACAGAGGCATGCCCTAGGGGAGTGGGAGCTAGTGATGCTCACCTAAGTGGGGACAGGCTGGGGGTCTGCAGGAAGGGGGCCTGCCCAGCCTGCATCAGACACCCTGCAAGGGATCGGTGCTGCGGCCCCTCACCTGACACACGTACTCCTTTTTGGCCGTCATTCCTCGTTCCGACCTTTTAGATGAGATGGACACTTCGGTCTGTGTTTCGTCTGCACTCTCATAAGGAGACTCTGAGGGCTCGTCCACTAGGCTGTCCGAGACCTGAAGATTAAGGAGGCGGAGGACAGTTCACTAGTCACAGAAAATGGTGGCTGTTGTGCCCTTCAGGCTTGGCCTGCCCCCACCCATCTCGGAGTGACGCGCTCCAGCCTCTGGCCTCTGCAGTGGTGCAACCATCAACAGAGCTGTGCAGTGTCCAGAGGTGGACACACTCCACTCAGCATTGAGAATACTCATGTACACAAAAGCACGTTCCTTGAAATGAAGAAACGCACGAAAACCCAGTTTGCTCTTCTAGGCGAGCTAACACAGGCTTTGGGACCAGGAACCCTCCCTTCCTTACCCAGTCTGCTCAGGTCCAATCACCAAATGGGTCTTGAAAGGAAACCAAGGCTGCACGTGGCGGCAGTGCAGCCCGCTCACGTGGGGGTGCAGGCCCCACTCTTCCTACACTGACGTGCTGTCCCAAGGTCAGCGGTCATCCCAACTCCACCCACTGACTGCTGCTGTCTCTTGCCCTCCCATCCAGGAGGAGGTGCAGTAGGGCCTTCTCGGGAACACAAAGTCTGAAAGCAGGGCCAGAAAGTCCTGGAAACCCAGAACACCTGGAGCCCAGGGGGATGGTGTTCCTCCACCCAAATGTCCTCCACTCCACAGTGGGCATCAGGACCAGCAACAACCTCGCTCTTCACAGAGCACCTTGCCCTCACTGGACCAGCCGTAGCAATAAGCGTTTGAGAAGACAGAAGACCTTCTTGTCTATCAATTTCAGGTGTGTTTAAAAACTTTTCACTTTGTATTTGATGGTAGGTAAATAAATGTTGAAAACTGAATTTTGGAGCTGGAACAAAATAGAAACTGCATCCCTGCACGCCTCAATAATCACCATAAAGACATCACAGTCTTGCTGCTTTTCCTTCAGCACCAAGCTAGGTATTAAAATGGGGCCACATTAAAAATGAAACTGCAACTCCACCAGGGTATCTGACTGACTCAACACCCTTATTAAGAGCTTTTTCCAAATTTATCTCACTGAAACTACAGGAGTGGTTAGAAGAAAAGAAAGAAGAGCTCCTGCGGGCGGGCTGGCTGGCAGGCAGGTGGTGGGCTGCTTTCAGGGGCCTCCGTGGCTCCGACTGGCTCATGGAGCAGTGACAGGGCCCTGAACGCCACTACTGGAGCCTCACTAAGATGCATCTCGTGACAACAGTCCAACAAAAAACTCATTTTTCTCACCTTTTGCAGGAAGATGGGAATAGCATGAACCAACACTAGATTAGAGGGCGTCGAGTCTTAAGGTTGTCACCGGAAGGCTGACTAGCTGGAAGTGCAGGGCCCACTGCCCGTCCCTCGCCCATCAGCTCACCTCCCACTTCTTTAACGTCAACATCCAGAAACAGGCAACTTGAAATGCTGAGTTCAAACCCCAAATTCAACATGTCCGTCAGACAGAGGTCACAGGTGGGGGTCTGAGCACTTCAGAGGTGAGAATGGAGTGGGTGTTGGGGGAGCCCAGGACATCAGGAAGCAGCCCCACCGCTGCCAGATGCTGACCCATCTGGTGGGGGAACCGAAGCCCAAAAAACAAGGCCTTTAACGCAAGCCCTCGGGAAGAGAGCCCAGCACTCTGCCCACCAACCCGGTTCCTCCCTGAGTGTGGCTGGAATGAATTTAAAAGCTAAAAAAGGAGAAAATACATGGAGAGAAAGACAGAAAACACAAACCAGTCCTGGGTCAGAGGAAGGAACAGCACCTTTTATTTAAGATTTACAGAAAGTTAGCACGTTTCCACTTGGAGATATCTCCTAAATTAACAAAGTCTGTTTTGAGGAAATAAACAGGAAATACATATTTGAATGGCATTATAAATGTTCATGACACACATGAGGCTCATTTCCTGACTGGGGCCCAATCCCACATACAGAATACAGACCTTACAATATCACAGTCCATGGCAGGTGGCAGACCCGCCCTCACCCCGCCTCCCCGCCAGCCAGTAGGAAGGGTCCCTGGCTCTCAGCGCCTCTCCCTGCAGCTGCAGGCTCCGCCTCCACACCAGGTGACAGCCAGCTGTGGAGGTGAATGTCACCTGAATGGGCCCCACAATCCCACAGCTCTTCTACAACCCCCACCATCCCTCCCACGTCGACAGGAAGTGCTGGAAAGGAAAAGCCAGCGCCCCAAAGGACAGCCTTCCTGCCGCCTCCTCACCCATCCAGGCCAGATGGGCAGCAACCATCTCCCAGCAGCTCAGTTCCTGACTTCCCAAGTTTTCTTGAGTCTGAAAACCCTTTCTCCACTCTCTACTCAGTGATGGTACCAAGCTGCCTGTTCTCCTTAGAAATACATCCTTCAGGGCAGGGAATACAGGCTCCTTCATCTAGCATGGGGCCTGCAATGTGGCACCGCCCAAGGGGACAGGACAGGGACAGGACCGTGACCGCCTTCCGCCAGCTGCCAGCAAGCACAGCCACAGAAGGCTCACTCACCACAGCCCCGCCCCTTCCGGGTGCTGTCACACAGTGAGTTTTTAATTTTTTGACAAAACAAATCCCTTCACAAATTGAAGACTACATCATTTTTGAAATACAATCACAGACCTTGAACAATAAATATTTCTATAAACCAACATTACTTTTGTATTTAAGTTACGCTTTTGTAAAAGAAACTGATTACTAAGTACTTTCACAGAGTGTTTTGGATTTACAAATGATAGGAATCCTGTGCTCAGCAGATTTAATGAGTTTTAAATCAAAAGGACTAATCTCAAAACAGGTCTTCCAAGTTAACATCACAGTGAAATATTAGAGCAGAATTAAAATGATTTTAAAATAAGTCGTCATCTAAAATCTGGAATTCAAAATAATTTTTGTTAAAATGACCCTTCCAGGTTACACAGACTGGAACCTTCCCAGCTGTTCCTAAATGACAGGGTAAGGGCCAAGAGTGAGTCACTGAGGACATAAAGATCTCTAGTCCACAGGGCCATCACATGCTTCTCCGTTAGCTTCTAATCTACGCCAGCTTCTGTGAGAAAGGGCAGCAAGGACCCAGGGGAGTTGTGGCCATAGCTGGCCATGTGGCTGCTGCTCCTAGTTCAAGACCTGCCTTGTCCAAAGCACAGGGAGTCTCTAAAATGGTCCCAGCTGTGCCTCAGTAATGGCCGCGCCCTGCTGGGAAGCAGGCTGGTGAGCGTGCTGGGCTGGCTGGCTGAGCCTTGTCTGGAGGGTTTGAGAACAGACAAGACCATCTCCAGTCTGCCTCCTGCCTTGGCTCATGCAGCCAAGCAACACCCCTGCAGTCAGGCCAGGACCCCAGTCCACCCCAATCAATATCCCTGGATGGTTAGCGTGCTTCAAACATTGCCAGAGCTACATGTAAAACACCCAAGGACCACATGTAACCCTGAAAAGTTACAAGTGTGGATCCAGCACGGGACTACATAGGTACATGGCACCTACCAGGACAGGGCTGCCAGGTAGCTAGAGGGACTCCCAGGCAGCAGAGACACTGGGAGTTCCAGCCCTCACCCTTCCAGGACAAGTGCACAGGCTCTCCCGCTGGCTAAGGGACGGTCCACCTCCATCACTGGCAGGTCAATTAGCGGTCATTTCTGATAAAAATATTACCCAAGGAAATCAAAATAGATTTCATTTACCCAAAGTCCTAGAACACCCAGCAGTCAGCATCTGTGTGTGTGCAGTATTGGGGATGGAACCGAGGTCCTCAAGCATGCCACAGAGCACTCTGCCACTGAGCCACACCCCAATTCCAGGAATAGGCATATTTCTTTAAAAGAAAAACACTTGAAATGCCGTGAGGAGCAGAGCCTGGGCATGCTGGGAAGCCTGGGGTGCACGGGACAGCCTGAGAGGCAACAGCAAGGTCCTCAGTAGCTGCTGTGTCTGCCTCTAGAGTTCCTAAACTAAGGTAATAAAAATATTGAGTTTTAAAACATAAAATGCTCCACGTTCCACACTGAGTCCAAAGGGCTGGCCTGGCCCAGCACATGCGTCTGCTTGGACAGAAGGGTGTGCAGTGGCTCAGCTCAGCCAGTTCAGAAGGCTGCACTAGAATCAGCGACTCAGAAATGAAGCAAGCTCACTAAGCCTTCCAACTGCTGACACTCCAGCACTGGGAGGTCCACAGGGCCCCGGCTCTGTCCTGCGCTGCACCAGGTTGCCACCACACCCTTCTCAGGTCACACACTTTCAGTCCTCCTGACTGACACGTGTGCATGGGCAACCTCTTCTGTTTGGGCAGCTAGATGCTAACCTACAATCTCAATTTTCTTCTCAGCGTGTTCCTGTGACAGGCCCTTAGAGGGTCCCAGCATCACACACACTGCCTGGCCACACCCTTGGGCCGAGAGATGGGGGACTACAAACCATCACTGACAGCGCAGCTGCTTCCTCCTGCCTTTCCTCACTCGCTGGCTTCCAATCTCTAAGACCCTATTTGGGTCTTCCTGGGCCTGAAGGGCCACTCGAAGCAGGCTGCCCAGCTCCCTCCTGCATCACTGGCCCCTCTGCCAGGAGACACCTCCTCATGAAAAAGCTGGGCCTAGGTCTCTCGATGCTTTCCAGGAACATTCTCTTAAAAACACAGGAAGTTACCACTTTCTGTGGGGAAACATGGATACAATGAGTGCCAGGACCACCCTTAATGTCCTAGCACTCTGCAGAAAGGCCAGCCAGGCAGGACGGCAGACCCTTGCACTCCACAGCACCATTCCTGACACTCCACTGGCACACCACTTCCCAATGCTCGTCTTATGCACGAGAGCCACCTCCCTGGCCAGGCAAACATGGACCTGTGGGTGTCTGAAGCAAGTCAGACGAGATCACAAGCAGAACTCGTCTCAACAAAGGGCAGCTCAAACGTCCTCAGGCCAGACATGTACCACTGCTGTTCTGACAGTTGTAGTAAACAAAGGAATTCCACGTTCAATTCGCAGCATAATGAATTTTGTACTCTTGGCAGCTTGTCCAAGCCTGAGCTTTCAAACAAGTCCACCTCTGACCCCAAGGAAACTGCTTCTCTGCCACAACACCAATACTAGTCTTCAAAGCAGGGTACTTCTGCCACATGCAGGACTGTTCTCTAGAGGGCAGATGCTGCTACCCTACCCCTAAACCTACACAGCCAACTCCTAATGTCCCTGGGGCACAAGGTCTTCCCAGCTGAGGAGCATATGGCCCTGTGAGCACTGCTCTATCCCTGGGACAGCACCCTCCTCCCTTCCAGAGAACAGCACCCCTCCTTGGCTTCCCACACAAAACCCACCGTGCTCCAATTTCAAATGCACTCCCTCATTGGGCCCAGCCTCTGAGGCCAGCATCCTTACTGCAGGACGCCATCTGAACCAGATCCATTTTATTCCATCGTGTTTCTCTTATTTTAAAAGTCAGTGGCTAATGTTTTGACACTCTTAAGTCTACCCAAGCTCCTTGGGTTCTCTAAGGGTACCAAAACTCAGACTGCACCTAGGCTATCTGAGGTCACATCTCCCACTACTCTGAGCAGATCCATGAAGCAGCCCCCAGCCCTCAGCCCGAGTCCAGCACCCAATGTGCCACACAGACCCAGCTTCTGTCAGACCACGGTATTGCCCCACATGCATAATGTAGTTGAGAGGATCACTGTTCATGCCAAGGCAAAAGTTATGCTTCTGGATAAAAATGGAATGATGGTGATTTCATCTTTTTATTGTCATAACCATTACTGTCACAACAGCGAGCCACTGAATCCTTGCAAGGTGCCAAGCACCCCGAGAGCTTACATGCGTTACAGTACTTAGTGTTCGGAACAAAAGCATTCCTTGGGAACTTTCATTACAGGCCAGACACATCTGAGGAGTGGCCAGGAACAGCTGGGCCCCGTTCCTCTGGCTGTGAGCAGCGCAGCTGCTGCAGGAGCTGGGGCCCATGCCGCTTCCCCATGCAAATGTGCGGACACTGGGCATGGCATGGCTGGCACCAGGACCATGACACATGTGCTGCTGACGCCCCACAGAGGTGACTGGCGAGGTGGCTGGCAGAAGTAGCCCAACATGGCGCCCTGGGTGACCATCACCAAGTCAAGAGGTGGATGGTTCACAATGGACTGTGAATGGTACTTGGCCCAAAACTTACTGTGTCTAGTGTCATAGTAAAACTGTTCATAGAAAAGCACAGACTCAAAATGCCTCCTGCCTGTTGTGCTGGAAACTGGGTTCATATCTACAGCACTGACTGCATTTCACTGGCAATTAAAACAGCTGACGAGGACCCCTCCGTGTGCTGTTTGCTCTTTGTCTCTGGAGCAATGGGTGCTGACATTTGTTCACAAAGATGCAGGGAGTTATGACCTGGGGGAAATGACCCTTGAGGCAGTGTCACTGCTGCAGCTCTGGGGCGGCCCTCCGAGGGCCTCCTCCCAACTGAACTCTACGTTGCTCTCGGAGTATGGGTGTCTCTACCATGAGATGGACGTGACTGAGTCAATGGCCTTGATCAGGTTCTTACCTTGGTCTTACAATGTGTTATCTGTTCTCTTCACTGTATGTGTTTATTAATGCCAATAAAAACAGAGTACCATATGTCTTCCACACAATGACTGTGAGAGCAAGCATGTCACTGAGTGTGCCGATGACGCACGCCCGCGGCAGACATCTCGGGCCATTACATCACTCTAAGTGCAGTACAGGGCATCTGGTTCAAGTCCAACTTGACTGATGTGGGCTCCCACAAAAGCTGTCACCAGTGAAGGCGAAAAAGTAAGAATTTGCTCTACTAAGGGAATAAGAAATGAAGTTACAAAACAAATCACATCAATTCCTTCACAGGCCGTTGTCATGCAAGTGTGCAATTTAATATATTCTCTTCGTTGGGGTGATGTAGAATCATGTAATAATTATTCCAATAAAAATTTATTTACCACATACACATTTGTCAAGAATTTAAACCACAACACGACCTACAATGTCTTGAGATACCAATCTTAGGAAAACACCTTGTTTTTTTCCAATCTAGTGTGACTGAAATATAAAGGAAGGAAATATAGACATGCAAGAGGGAGGCGGCCCTCACGAGGGCTGGTGGGGTGCCCGGCCATAGCCACCACACCAGAGCCAGCCCAGCAGGCTTCCAGGCAGCCCTACAGCACCAGCAGTATGTAGCACTGCACACCTGCAGCTGCCGGCCACGGCTCGGCAGAGTGAGTGCACAGTGGACAAGCCTCTCGATCACCCAGGGCCAGCCAACCAACAGTGTGACTCTGTGAGCCACACAAAAGAGACCTCCTGGAGAAGGCCTCACAGTCCAGGTGAGCTCACATAAGGAGCACGATGCACACCATAAGTTTGGGTCACCTCAAGTGTGGGAAGGTTCCACATGCGATATAAATACGCTCTGTCATTGACCAACCTCTACAGCTTGACAGTCACACACAGATTCCGTCTCCTGAGCTCAGAACAGAGACCACATCGGCCAGCTGCTCTCCCGTCTCACCTCCACCCTTACCACCCCAGCCTGGCCTGCACAAGACTGGCATCCAAGAGCCGCAGAAAGGATTCCAGTGGCCTCGATGCTTTTCTCTCTCTCATATCTGACACCAACATCAGCAAAAAGTCAACCAGAATAAGAAAAATTCATCAAAAATGTTTTATAAACAAAACCACCAACTTAAGTAAAAGGGCCTACAGAACTAAAACTTTCTGTTTTTAATATTCTTATTTGGAATTGCAGGCCACCTTTCATTTAATTTCTAGGATACTGACCTGAACTTGGGCAAGAAAGAAAAAAAAGGGGAAATGATTTATATAAAATCTGCCTTTCCAGGTTCTAGCAAGCTCCTAATCAGAAGCTTTGAGAAGAACCGAGTTTCCAGAAGGAAAGAATGTTTGTCTATACAGCAAGGAACAGGTGAGCACCTCGCCACAGCCTCTGCCTGGCCCCGCAGAGGGGCCCACAGTGCTATCCCTGACTGACAGGAGAAAGAAGCCATCCTGTCCCGCCTCACTACCCTCTTCCCAATAATGGCTAAGGTCACCACCTCCTCACAAATACAAAAACAGGACTCATGCCCACAAGGAGAAAAGCAGAACCACAGGGACCAAGGGAAGAAATCAAACTGGAAAGGAAGCACTGTGAAGGGAACCACCGGAGACTGGGCCACGCCCACCTCTGCAGCACAAATGCTAGGCCTGCATTTGTGAATGCTGCTTTTTGCTAGCTTTTGGCAATGGCAAAGTCCCAGACTTGGTAGTGCCTTCTAGGTGTCATGCCACAATGACAGTAGCAACAGCCTTGAACAGCTACTGCTCTGCTGTCCTGCTCTGCCAGCCCAGGAAATAGGCAGTGGCACAGTGGCAGTTCTGACTCTCCTCTGGGTGCCAGATGTGGAACGCATGAAAACCAAGGGACTTGTGGCTTCCCCAGGCACCTGAAAGCCCCTCGCCCCTCCCACAGAGTGCACCATGGCCAAGAGCAGCTCAGCCAACAGTGGCCCTGTGAGAGCCAAGACGGACCCCCTATGTGAGGAGGGACAGCATGAGGCCTACAGAACACGGCATGGTAAACACAGACTGCAAGGACAAGGAAACAGCCTCAAGAGCGGGGCATCCACACATTCACACCTGCGCATGTGCTCAGCTGGTAGCACCACTGTCCCTCCTGTGCGTGTTCTGAGTTAGGCCCTCAATGCGCCCCCATGGAGAGCACTGCTATGTGCTCGCCGAGCCTGACCTTCACTCTCACTCAACCTGTAACCACAGCCTTCCCGGGAATACAGGGTCCCATCATCATCATTTTACCTCGTTCTCGGTCAAGGACGCAGAAGGAGACGAGCTTTTGCTAAACCCGAGAGCTGCAGATGCTGCTGCGGAAGCCCGGTTTCGCTTCTTCAGTGGTTTGCAAGCATCAGACAGATTTTTTGTTGCTGAAAAATAGTTTTGTTTATTAAGTAATGTTTGAAATCTTAAACCCTCAGCCTCTTGCTGCTATAAAATTACCCCTCAAATAAATGAAGTTCTACAGAGACTCTTCTGGGTCCCTTTGTCATATTAAGGGCTTAACTTTTTATCATGGAAAAATCCGAATGTAAATAAAAGCAGATAAACTGTACAGTGAACACCAGGTCCCCAAGACCAGGCCCCCGAACCATCAGGCCAAGGCCAGAGAACTCCATCCACACCTTGCGCCATGTCCCCTTGACAGAGTATTCTGGAGCAAATTCCAGACATGTCATCTCATCCACAAAAACCTCAGTGCAAACCTCTAAAGCAGTTAACAGACAACAACACCGTCAGTATACTTGAAAGTAATGTCCCCTTTCTATCACCAAGGGCCCCCTAGTCACACTGAGAGTTTCTGCTGTTTGCACATGTTCTTTAAAGAGAGGCTATTTAACTCATTTTCAAAAGCCAGCAAAGCACCTCACACAATTCAGGGAAAGCGGCTTTGCCAGTCTTCACTTCCTCAGGCTTATTCTCCCAGGAGCTGAAGATGGTTAGCCACCTCTGATAAACTGTCAGGCAGATTTCAATAATATAATTAATGAAAAAGGTAAAGGTGGTGTGATTACCCCTTTCAAAATTTGTTTTGATAAGCAGTTTTATTTTTTGGTACTGGGGATTGAACCCAGGACACTCTCCAACTGAGCTGTATCCCAGCCCTTTTCAAATTTTGAGACAGGGTCTCATCAAGATGCCTGGGCTGGCCTTGCACTTTCGACCCTCTTTCCTTAGCCTCTGGAGGGACTGGGATCACAAAGTGTGTCCACCCCACCCAGCATTAAGCTGACTTCTTTAACATGTGACAAACAAGCAACCAGTAATGACTTTTACTCTTAGCTAAGGTGAACAGAGATTCGGGGTCCTCGAGGGATGGCTTTTGGCAACAACTAGTGCCATCAAGTAAGAAATCTGAAAAATTCTGGCTTAAATCACTCCTCCAGTAAAATTTCAAACAATAAAGTAAAGTAAAAATCAGCAGAAAAGTGACTTTAGTTAACCGTGCGTTAAGCCTTAAAACTCACATGTCAAGGGGCTTGGGTCAGCAGCATGAGTACCTCTCCCTTCTCGCCCCATGGTCCCTCTGAGGTTGCCCGGGGTTCCTCTCACCCAGCACTCCTCTCCTCTGGCCCCCTCACTGAGGACCCCTGCTCACCCACCTGCCCAGGTATCAGAGAGACCTAAGCACATTACCTGCCTGGCTCCTGAGCGAGGAGGCTGCCTCCGTGGCCCTGTAAGAGCTGGCTCTGGCCATTTTGTCAGTGGTCGTCTCTCTCTGTCATTTAGAAAGAAAAAAGAAAGAAAGAAAGAAAAAGGGAGAACAAAGGAAAAGAAAGAAAAACGTCTCCTAATGTGAATGAACACAGGTTGCTGAAAACTTGTACAATGGAAACTTCTTCCTTGGGAAGTATGTCCCACACCCCACTTCCTTGGGAAGTGTGTCCCACCTATGGCCACCCCATCTCTGGCTTCTCCTCTCTGGACTTCCTCTTTCTGCACCCCAACTCCGACAGCTGCCTGCAGGGCAGGTGCAGGGCCCTGCCCAGGTCTGCTGTGGCTGCTCCCTTCAGATGCCTCCCACGAGGTACCCTACCCTTGCTGTCTGCACTTCCCACTGAACCCAAGCAGGGTGTCCATTGAAGAAACCTAGCCTTCCACCCCAGAGGTCCAATCACCTCAAGTCAACCCACCTGGCTCATCAGTGCCGAGAGGACTAGTCTAACAACACTACAATGAGGACCTCCAATTTTGAGATAAATTCCCAAGACCCAGTAAACTCCAGCAAAAAAAAAAAAAAAAACATCAACAAAACACATTTTCTTTTTTGGTCCTGGGGATTGAACCCCAAGGAAGGACTGCCTGCTGGGTCCACCTCTCAAGGAGGCTTGGCCCACACCTGTGCCCTGTGCCTGCCACACGAAACATAATCGATGCATATTAGGAATGACATGAATGTGCTCAGGTTCATGAAAATCTGACAGAGGACACACCACTACTTTGTTTTATATCGTGTACAATTTCCTAAGCTATAGTTTCAGAGAAAACATCCCATCTGGCTACTTGATGTGATCCTTCATATTTCAAAAGTTCAGGGCCATAGGTTTTTTTAGGTATATTATTTACACAAATATTTCAAAGCAACCAATTTCAGTATGATCACCAGTAAAGACCGCTTTAGGGGCTGGGGCTACAGCTCAGTGGTAGAGAGCTTGCCTAGCACATATGAGGCCCTGGGTTTGATCCTCAGCACCACATACAAATGATTAAATAGAATAAAGGTATTTAAAAAAAAAAAAAACTGCTTTAGAGCTGGCGTCCAGAGAAGATATTAAGTATGCACTTCCTGATAACCTCAGTGACGCCCAGAGAATGTGAGCCAGCTTAAGCTGGACACCTGATCACTAATTGGTCCCAACTGTTGATGGGCACTGAGAACACTGTGTTGGCCAGGAAAGTAAAGCAGCCCCTGCTTGCTCCCTTGAACTGCACACACACTTTAAGAATTGAGACGCCGACGTGGCCCAGCAGTCTGACAGGAAAGATTATTTTCCATTCTTCCAAGTAACACAAAACAAAAAGGGCAGCATAATACAGTATCAAGCTGTATTCCAAATCATAAATATACAACTCTGTCAGAACCATTACTGAGTAAATGTGAATTAAAATTTAAAGTACAAAGTCTGTCTAAACTCAGTTTAAAGAAACAGCCAACTGACGTTGGAGATGGCCGAGGCAGGCCTTGCTAGAAAAGGACTCACGTCTGCCCCCAGGCACAGCAAGCTGCTGTTCCTCAGCTCCCTGCCAGGGCTGAGGCAAGCTCTGACCCTGACAGATGTGGGACACGGGGGTACAGGGCCTGGGGCTGCCAGCGGGCCAACTGCCCCCTTTAGGTTGCATCAGTACTGCCCACACTGCCTAGGACCCCCACTGAGTAAACAGTATCGTGAATTACTAACAGACTCAAGAGGTTCCTGAAACATGATTTCAATGCCTGGAACGGATTCTTTAACTGATTTATTTATTTATTTGTTTGTTTATTTGTTTATTTATTTATTTATTTATTGGTACTGGGGTTGAACTGAGGAGTACTCTACCACTGAGTGACACCCTCAGGCCTTTTTATTTTGAGACAGGGTCTTGCTAAGTTGCTTAGGGCCTCAGTAAGTTGCTGAGCCTGGCCCTGAACCTGCAATCCTCCTGTCTTAGCCTCCTGCATTGCTGGGATAACAGGTATGGCCACTGCGCTGGGTCAGATTCTTTTAGTTTTCACTGAAGTTTAACATACATCTCTAATGGATTTTCATATCAGCTCACTGAACAACTGAACACTGAACATTAAGTCCAACAGACAAGAGTCTGCAGTTACATGATGCTGGGGATAGAACCCAGGCCCTCAACTGTGCCAGGCAAGTGCACCACCAGCGAGCTCTATCCCCAGCCCGAGAGTTTTTTTTTTTTGTTGTTGTTTTTTTAATGTTTTAGTTGTAAATGGACATAATACCTTTATTTATTTATCTTTATGTGGTGCTAAGGATCGAACCCAGGCCCTCACACATGGTAGATAAGCGCTCTATCATTAAGCCACAACACCAGCCCTTCAAGAGTTATTTTTAACATGTCATTTTATCCAATTTAAAAGCTTATCCAATTTAAAAGCAATTTATAAACTCCCAGGGTTTGGGTGCTATTTCCCACAGCCAAGAGGCAGCATCTCTGTCACCCTGAGGGTAGGCACTGCTTTCTTCAGCAGCCTTCTCCCAGGGCTCTGGAAAAAGAGCAGGCTTAGACGCTGAGCAGCACAGGGAGCTCAGAGAGCCTCTGCCTGCCTCCCAAGCCCCAAGAACCACACTTTCCCAGGGGCCAGGCAAACCTGGAACATACTTACCTTCCGGAGACTGTGCTTGTCTGTCCTGAGTCTTTTCCTGGGAACATCCTCAATGTCAATATCTTCTGAAGGGTCCTCCGTCCTCTTTGTGTGGGTTCTTTTCTTCCCGTTAATGTTACCTTGAAATAGGAGATGGGGAAATGCACGTGAGAAACTCCATGTGCTGCTCTCCGAAGTACAGGACCCTGGCCAGGGCAGTGCACGTGCAAGCCACCCTAGGGGAAGTTTCCAGCAACTCTGAAATCCCCAGGTCCTATGTTTCACATACAGAATCTCCTTATACCAAAACACTTGGGGACTGAAAATATACCTTAGAGATTTATCATATTTGTACTTATTATCATTTTATTTTAACCTACTGGAGTATTAAATTTATACATAACCCAGTATTTGCTTACTAACATTCAAAGACTGAGAGAATACCCAGTGAACTTTAGAACAATCTGCTACCACTTATGCATTCTCTTACAGAACATCTAAGTACACCACTACATTTTTATCTACAAAGGCTTTCTCTTCTTTTTAGTACCAGGGATTGAACCCACAGGCACTTAACCACTAAGCCATATTCCTAGCCCTTTTTATTTTTAACTCTTTTTTAAAAAATATTTTTCTAGATGTAGATAGACACAATATCTTTATTTTATTTATTTATTTATTTTTATGTGGTGCTTAGGATTGAACCCAGTCCCTCACAGGTACTAAGCAAGCGCTCTACCACTGAGCCACAGCCTCAGCCCTTTATTTTTTATTTAGAGACAGGGTCTTGCTAAATTGCTCAGGGCTTCGCTAAGTTGCTGAGGCTAGCTTTGAACCTGCCATCCTTCTGAATCAGCCTCCCAAACCACTGAGATTAAAGGTGTGTGCCACGACCAGCACACCCAGCCCTTTTTAAATATTTTTTATGTTGAGACAGCATCTCACAAGGTTGCTGAGTCTGGTCTTAAACTTGCTATCCTCCTGCCTCAGCCTCCTGAGCAGGTGGGATTACAGGTGTGCACTCTGTGCCTGCCACACATTTTCTACGTGTGTGCTTGACTATCCACACAGTCATGTCTCAGGATATCACTAATTCCCAAGAAGATGTGCAAACAGGACTGGCCTAAAAACAAATCAGGTGGACAACACAAGCGCAGACCCTGGAGACAACCAGCTTGAATGTGCCAGTGTTTATTTTTAGAGGTTCAGGATTTCTTATTAACAGACTCTCATCAACTTCTTCAGGACACTGTCACCCTCAAACTCACTGTTAGGACACAACACCAGCACAGGGTACTCAGCCCCCTAGCGAAAAGCAGGCCTCTGGAGGAGGCACCAGAGAGGCCCCACATGCCAAAACAGCAACAGAGTGGCAAGCCAGGATGGGGTGCTGAGCAGCCAGTGCACAAGCTGCCCACCTCCAGCTGCAGGCTATGCAGTAGGGCCCAGTTCTGTCCCTCAGCAGACTTGGGCTGGCCATGAAGTCTGCATGGGAACAGGCCTACAAAGCAGAGGACAGCAGGGTCTTAAAGTCACAGCCTGAGCACAAGCACAATGAAGCCCAGTCTGCCCCACTTGCCAGAACCTCCCTAGCAGGTCTGCCACTGAGCCTCGTTCAAATGCAAGCAGCAGCATCTTCCTATACCTATCTTCCCACCAGGAGGCAAGCTCCTGGGCCTGTCCACGAGCACATCGTCAGCACCGCCCCTCCACTGGGATGAGGCGGCAGCAACTGTTCATGGAAGCGAATAACATGGCATCCACGTGAAGTCCACAGTGAAACAGTGGGACAACTGGCACACAGCGATGGCACACCATGCTCTGGGCGGCACCAGGTTCCCCTGGAAGCCAGAGTTCAAGGGCACCCAAAGAGAGCATGCTCCTGATGGACACTGTGATGGAAACCCACCATCACCCTTACTATCTACCCAGTGCTCAGGGAAAGCCCAAGTGGCAGACAGTGACACACAGGCAAATTTACTCACTCTTTAAGGATGAGCAACTCTGGCTTTGGGAAAGCCCAGCTCCTTTTTAAATACGGCACCCCTGCGCACAAGCACTCCTCTCAAGCAGTGTCTGCTGCAGAGGCAGCCAGCTTACCTCTAGGGCCAACACGCAGACCCTGTGTGTCTTGGGCTCTAAGCTGCAGCCCTTGCAGCACACACCAAGCAGCGTGAACAAAAGGCCAGACCAACACAGTCAGTTGATGTGGAGAATCTGTGAGGGAAGGAGGTGCCACTGTGCCTGTGTGATCACTGCCAGCATAGAGGAGCCACTCCTGCACAGCCCAGCTCACAGGGCCTGCACCTCCTGTCAGCTGAGTCTTGCAGCACTATGTCTGGTTGCTCCAGAACTCCTCAATGATGAACCTTGACAGATGCAAATTCTCTATACTTTTTCTTGATACCCAAAGATATCATGCCTTTTTTTACATTAAGATGGCAGTTTTCAGTCAAACATTGTGGTGCACACCTGTAATCCCAGCAGCTCAGGAGGCTGAGACAGGAGGATCCAAGTTTCTAGCCCAGCCTCAGCAACTTAGTGAGGCCCTAAGAACCTCAGCAAGACCCTGTCTCTAAATAAAATGGAAAGGTTTAGGAACATGGCTCAGTGGTAGGGCACATACTTAGCATGTGGCAGGCCCCATGTTCCAGCCCCAGCCCCATAACAGGAAAAAAAAAATTTTAAAAAGGCAGTTTTCCACAACTTGTGAGTCTGGGAACACACAGACCGCAAACCTGACACTACTGCATGTCTTCCAAGTCTTACATTGTTCTCTCCTTTACCTTGTCACTGCCCCAAGTAACACTTTCTATTTTTTAAACTGAAAGCCCAGAAGGAACCAAAAGACACACAATCCAAGGTCAATCCCGTCACCCCCTCACCTGCAAGGTCTCAAGCAAACAAGCCAAGAACTGCCCCTCTCTGGGCCTCACGAGTCCTAGCCTTCGAAAGCAGGCCCAAGAGGAGCCGAGTACAAGTCAGGACTGGACGGGCTGCTTGGGCAGCTCCAATGCCAGGCCACAGGCCTGAAGTCAGACCTGCCCCCCAAGACTGGGGTCCTAGAAATGGCCTGGCTCCCTTCCTTCTTCTGTCCTCTCCCACAAAAACCTCTTTCGTGACTACAATGGCCAGAACACCTGCTCCCCAAGAACAATAGCAAGGGACCTGCAGGCCAGCAGAGGACCAGAAGACACAGCTCCAGGACAAGAAAGAAAGCACAGACAGCAAAGGCTGCCATGTCATGGCAGGAACATTCTGCCTGCGCCCCAAAGGTGGGGTTCAGCGGCCAGCCGCACACACAGGCCGCACATTACCAGAGTCTTCCTCAGCCGGGGTGCAGGTCACGAGGGCAAACTTGGTGTTATAGCGTGCCTTCTGTTTTTCATTGAGCATGTTCCACTGGGAGCTCAGCAGTTCTTCAATCTCCTCGCCTGAGGCGTCAGGGTGCTCAGCAACAACCTGTGATCAAGCAGAGGGAGCAGAGAAGGCCTGATCACCAACTCACTCCTGCTTTGCACAGATGAAATGTACAGCCCTTTCCAACTTAGCATGTGGCATTTTTATTCCTGCATCATGGAGCTTTTCCTCAGAAAAAACTAAAAGAAAAATAACACTTAACTAATGTTGTGACTCATTGAGAATACTGATAAATGGTTAAAAATAAATAAATAAAAACATTACTTTTCCAAAATCACTAAATCCATTTGTAAGTCAGTTTTCTATACCCCCAAGACGTCAGTAGTGAAGCAAGGCCACAGAAGCGCTTCCCCCAAGCCTACAGTGAGGCCCTAGCCAGGCTTCCTCTCAGGCCCCAGCACCCAGGCTCCATCTTCCAGTGCCCACCCCAGAGGAACAGTAAAAGCGGTCCAGCAAGGAGGGGTTCCTTGCTCCTGCCCCAGTGCTTCAAGACCATCACTGCACAGCCCAGAGACAGGGCCTCCCTGCCCCTCCAGCCACTCAGCACCAGTACCCTAGGACTGGCTAGCAACACAGACCCCCAGGCCCCTCCCAGACCTCCTAACCAGGAGCTAAGACTCATTTTTGTATTTTTTCAGAGGCTAAAAAAAAGAAGAGTATTTCACTTCATGCAAAAATTACAGAAAACTCAAAGATTAGTGTCCACAAACAAAGCTTAAGGGGGGGGGGGGGGGGGGGCTGGGGTTGTGGCTCAGTGGTGGTGCACTTGCCTAGCACATGTGAAGCACCCACCCCTGCCCCAGCATCCTCAGTACCACATAAAAATAAATAAATTAAATTGAAGTTAAAATTCTTAAAAAAAAAAAAGCTTCATGGGAACTCAGTCACAAGCTGGTGTTGCCTTTCTGCCTGGGGTTGTTTTCACACTGCAACACCATTGGGACAGAGACCTCATGGATGGCAGGGCCCCAGGATGACACTTTTCTGACCAGCAGAGCCCTACCACCACTTCTGGGACCAGATGGGATTCCAATGCTGGGCGCTGGGCTTTTGTGAACACAGGCAAGTGAAGGTATAGAATGTGAGCAGCGTCCGCATTCAGAGCATAAATGTTAGCTGGCTGCCATCATCACCTGGATCTACCACTTGCCCAGTCAATACCCGTACCTGCCTCCAAACACAAACCATGCCCTCCTCCATCCACTCTCCCACTCCCCCCCAACCTCTGCTCTGCTACAGCCTGTTAACTAGACAGGGACAGCCCCACCACCTCCCCATATCACCTTTCCAAATGAAGGGGAGTAGCAACTTGCAGACACACCTAGCCTGACAGCCTGCAACCTCTCACCTCAAGGACACCTTCTACAGTTTCAAGTCTGGTTCTGGCTCCAAGGCACCACAAGGGTTCTCTCTTCCTACCCGTGCCTGGGCATTCCCTGCCCCACTCACACCAATCCTGTCACTTGACTTGGGTGTCTTCCCCTTGGCTAGGCATGGCTTTCTGTCCGTCTGCCTGCAGCCTCACCTGCTGCATGAGCTCACCCCTCCCAGCTCAGCAGGCACCAAGATCTCAACCTTCCTCCAGCAAAGGCTTCTGTGCTGCGCGTCAGCTCCGCAGGCACAACCACGTGGCCAACAATGCCCTCCTTGGCCACCCATACCTGCCCCAGCGTCCTCAGCACAGATCGTGCTGTGCTCCCAGCTGCCTCACTAAACAAGACTCCTGAGTCCCCCCAAGGCCACCTTCCTCCTGCTTGTCATCCTGCACCACTCAACATTCTTTATTTATCCACTTCCATCCAGAGCATCACATGCACAGATCTGAATTTCAGCAATCAACCTCCCGGATCTTGATCCTGTACATCTATCTCCTTGACATTCCCAAGCCAAAGAGGCTAGAGCCCTGTCCACTCCTGGGGTTAAGCCCCCATGACTCTTTGGGAGGCCTCCACATCATGTGACCAGCATTTTCCTCTCCTGATTGGTTTGAGGCACTGTGGTCATTTCCAGTGATGTGGTCACTTCCAGTGATCTGGTCACTTTCTTTTTTTTTTTTTAAATTAGTTGCTCATGACAATACAATGATCTTGACATATCATACATTTGAATCAAATGGGGTATGAATTCTCATTTTTCCAAGTGTACAGGTTGATCTGGCTACTTTCAAGTGGCTGTAGACGGCAGCCCCCATCTTGAGAGCAGTAAAAATGTAACAAATGTGTCTTCAAGCACAGGTATGCCTTCCCGCAGCCCCATGGGTGGAGCTATGCTCACCTGTTCCTTTATAATATTACCCCTTGCCCTGTATGGAACAGAAAGTTCCATGGAAACACCATTTGTGTGTCCCGTTCTCTTACTGTGCCCTTGGGTGTGGCCTACCTAGGTGTCAGTTAACCTGCTGACAGCAGACTCAGGAAGCTAGACTCAGCCCCCTGAAACTGACCCCTTGCCTCATTTGAATGGCTTCTCCTCAATAAAAGGGTCAGCATGCACTCTCTTTCTGTGGACCCTTTAAGGTCAGAGAAGCCGTCACAGGACCTCCAAAATAAAAAGGTGTCTCTGTCTCTTGTGTGGTTATTTTGCGCAGCCCAGTTCCCCTGGAGTGACCCTGAGTGTTTTTGTCGCTGGGAACCTGACACAACTCCACGAGGACTTCAAAGATCCCGCAAGACTCCATGCTGCTTCTCTTGCACTTTCATCTCTCACCCAACCTCCTGCAAGCAACACAGTGGGCAGTCCCCAGAAGGCTCATGCTCCTCCCAGCACTCCCCACTGGCTCCACAGCACCCACAGCAGGTTTCAGCTACCAGGTCACTGTGAGGGGTGTTCACAGAGCTCTGTGGCAGGAACCACAGGCAAATGGCAATAGAACCCTCCCTACATCAGGTGCTCATTGTCTCTGCTCTTCACCTCTCTCCAGCTTAGACGCTTCAGGGGAACATGGACAGCATCTTCGCCAGAAGCCTGGGCTGCTAAAGCAAGGGCCACGCACTCAAATCCACCTAACAAGGCCACATCCGGACAGACTGGGACCAAGATCTTTCCCATTTCCATGGTGTCAGTAGAAATCATGCTGTGAACTTTGAATTCTAATGAGTTCCAGGATGGCAACGTTCTGTACAGCCCTTTCTCGCCATGCAGGGCAGCAGCAGTGAGTGCCGCTCGGTTGGCTCTCATTGGTGAGAGAAACCAATGCCACCACTGTGCATCACGAGGCAGAGCAGCCTGCTGGGCAGGTAAGGCACACTCAGTGCACTTCCACGCATGGAATTTTCAACTGGGGTGGTTCATCAGGCCAAGATCCATGATAAAGCCAGGAGTTCCTGTGGCTCGACAGTTGTGGGCTCTGAGCTCAAGCATGCATGTGCACAGTCAGGGCCATGTCCGATTCTGCTTCCTGCCTGCAATGCCACTAGTAAAGGAGAGGCTTTCACCTGTGGCCTCAGTGCAGTCAGCCACAAAACAGGATGAGGTAAACCGTGGAGCATCCTGAGCACCAGGTACGAGTCTGCACTGACGGGTGGCAAGCGCACAGCAGCTGCTTCTGCATCTTTACTAAACTGTTTCCGACATACCACAAGAGCATGGAAACCACCAAGTGCCTCCTAAGCCACAGGTAATTGAGATCACACTTGTGCCACTGAGGACAGCCGTTCCTCCCAAAGCACACACCTCCCACGGCCGCCCCCGTCCCCTGTCCCCCATCCCCAGTCACGTTGACTCAAGGGCTTCCTTTTGCTTCTGGACTCCAGAGGCAAATGCTGCAGCACCTGCACCCTCAGGCTACTCTTGAGGCCACCCTCTGATGTTCACACCCCAACTTGTCAGCACTGGCCGGTCTACTCAAAAGCTCTCTTCTCCCCAGGTCTGCTGAGTTTCTTAAGTTGCCCAGGGTCCCAGAGTGGTGTCCAGAGCAGCCATCTCACCCTGTTGGCCTGCAGCTCTTTCCCATGCACTTCCACCACTTGGAAGTCTACTCCTAGGCCCTGTTCTGGATGGTGTCCCCGCCCTATGTGTCCCCAGCATTAGTGTCAACATCTTCACAACAGAACTCCCTGTCTAGTCAGGCGGCCCTCTGGCCACATTAGTATGGCTCACACTGGTAGGCTCGCTGTGTCAGCACTGAATCTGTAGATTATAAGAGGGAGCCAACAGCTGCAGAATCCTGACCTGCCCAGCGGTGAATACATCTAGGTTTCTCCAAAGCCACACACCATTCCACACATCTGTTCCTCGGAAACGCAAATCTTGTCTCCTCTTTTTAAACACTATATTTCCTCTTTGTTGCTGCCCTCAGGCAGTGATATCATATCCACAGCCTTGGTGAACTCCTACTAACCTTAAAGACTTCCTGCATCTCCCACAGGGAGCTCAGCAAGCCAGCCCCGCTCGCCTTCCTTCACCACCTGCCTCTCGGCTCCCTCTTGCCTTGCGCACTGCCGCATGCATCTCCTAGTACATGGGGAAGGAAGCAAGCAGTCCCACTGGTGCTGTTAGTGGGGCTTCGGTACCGCCATCGGAGGACCCCTGCAAGGACATCTGACACTTCAATGGACTCAGAGAGTTCCCTTCCACTCCTTTTTTCATCACAAAGCTGACTTGCACCAAACGTCTTTGCTCCATCAGTGCAGACGGTCGATTAATCTGCTACACAGAGAATCACAGTGACGGATTTTCTGTCCTGAACTTTGGCTTTCACTCCTGAGAAGAGCCCTACCAGTCCTTCTGGAGAGGCACTGCTCAGATGTTTTCTCTGGAAGATCCTAACTCCTGGGCAGGGACACAAACGCCATTTACATATCCCTAGAGCTCCTCATGCCCCACTCTGTGCTGAGCCGCCTGCCAAGGAGCAGGCACTGACCACACACCCAGGGACAGTGCCTGGGGAGGACTCTGCTTCCCACTGGAACCTCAGGTACCATGTAGGTGTGGACTCCTGAACAGAAAGTTCCTGAGAAAGTGAAGTCACAAAGAACACTACAATAAGAAGGCTTCAGGTTCTAGACTAGAACCCACTCACTTCACGTGACCACACCACCAAACCGGGAGTCTCAATTCCTTATGGTGGAACCAAAGATCCTGTGCCTTATCAGAACCACCAAGCAGGTTGTAAGTGCTTCACTCACTATCTACTGCAGCCCGTGCCAACACCGTAGGATACGTCCTCAACATTCCGATGTGGAGACGTCAGCTTCACAGGTGACCAGGGCCACGCCAGAAGCCTCAGGACAGCCATCTACAGCAAAGGCTCACCTGGAGCTAGACGCTGAGGCCAAGAGTGCCCCAGGGAAGCCCACCCCCTGAAAGGAACATGGGCAGCAACCCAGGGGCAAAGGCAGGCAGTCTTGGTCCCAAGGGGTCAAAATGGCTGCTGCTGCCCAACAGCCAAGCAGCAGCCAGCCATGCACAGGAATGCCCCCCAACTTGGAAACTCAGGCATATGAAGCACACCTCAGAACCCATCTGAATACTGACCTCATCTCTGTGCTTTTGACAGAAGACCAAAAACTGGGCAGCTGCATCTCCCTTCCTGCTCCTTGGAGTAGAGGGCGTGGCCTTTTTCCTCCCAGGAGGAGAACCCACTCCTCTTTTGGGGTCGGCCTCTACCATCTTTTGAGGAGAACTCTTTTCTGTGCCAGGGTCGCACTCCTGGTGCTCCGCAGAGCTGGACCGTTTGACTCTCCGCCTTCTCTTCATAGGAACACCCTCCTCTCTCATGGGCCCAGGGTCTGCGGCAGCTTCCTCACTGGGCCCTGTGGACGCTGCCATTTCTCCGGAGGTCTGCACAGCAAGGCCAGCCTCCTTAGCCACCTGTGGGTTGAGGTGCAGCTGGCCCCCCACATAGAGGAAGGTGAACTTGGCTTTCCGCTCTTCCACGGACATGCCTGCGGCTTCCTCTGCCTGAACAATGCCCATTTCCCACTGGGCCCTCAGTTTCCCTGAAATAGGCTTCAACAGCTGAAAAGAAGCAAAAGACATTAAAAGAGTTTTGCAGAGACATAAAAGGTAGCTGACTTTAAAAGAGACTTACAGTTCAGATACATTTAGAAATCAGAAATGATAACTTAGATTAACAATTAACTTAGAGGATTTTTAAACAGAACTGAGCCAATAACTATTGTTTCTTTAAACTAGAAATCAATTCCAATTGTATTAACTTATGTAAGCTATATATACATAAAGGATAATAAAAAATATAAAACAAGTTATTTATGGGAGTTAACAAATGAGTAAAGGAGAAATAAGTTGTCTGCAAGTTTGTCACCTGCCAAATGTCACAGTATATTTGGTCAGAGTGAACAACAATTTAAGAAGCAATTTCAAGCAATTATTAAGTTCAAAACAAACAACTTAAATGATAAAACGTGGACTGAAAGTATGTGAAAAAAATGTCTATCACCTTGGTTTTCTCAGCTTTCGTGGGTGCCAGCTTGGCACTTTCCTGGCATAATTTTTCAAACTGTCCTTCTCCTTCAAAAGCTACGAGGCTCTTCTCAAATATCCAAGCTCTCTCTGGGGCATCACCAAAGAACTGTACGTGATACTGGCGTGCACTTTTTTTCTGACCTGATTTTAAGACAAAACATTAGAACATCAATATTAAAACTTGGGATGAAACTAGGCAAAGCATACTGTCACTCTGAAGCTGTTCACGCGAGCCCACTGGCCACAGAGGGAGCCCTGGCTTCCTGTGCCCACCATGCTCCGACAAAAACAGAGGGAGCACAGGCTGCTGGGAAGAAAGGGGAGGACGGGTGCTCCTTCACCTGCTGCCTCTCAAGGCCTCGAGGTACCAGACAACCAGAGAGGGCAGAGCAGCAGCAAGGGGCTTGGCCAGGGGCAGGGTCCACGACCCACCCATCCTGACAGCTGGCCATCCCTTGCTCACTGCGCCTGGAGAGAGGGCACGCAGCCTCTGAGAACACTGCAACCACAGCAAAGCTTCGCCCTCAGACACCCACTGCTGTCACTCTCAGGTACAGGAAGAAGCCACAACACAGCCAGGAGCCAGGTGAACAAAGAGACCACTGGCCCCCAAACCCAAGGCAGATGCTGCTGAGGTGGAGTGAGAGCTGGAACAGGTAAGCCAGCAGGAGGGCAGGTCTCTGGGCTGAGGGAGGGAGGGAGGGAGGGAGGGAGGGAGGGAAGACTGTCCCCTTATGCACTGGGTTGGCCACAGGAAACCAAAGCAGAGTTCCTGGGGAATGAAACACCAAGGAAAGTCTCTGCATGATGTCTTAGAAACGTCCCACTGTGTGGCTGTTGCCAGGCCAGAAACCAGAGTCTCCCACTTACGGTTGCAGGCAGTGCTCAACACACTGTGCTCTGACACAGGCCCCAGACAGAGCACTCGGGATTAGGGACACCTCCACTTCAAGGAGGTCAAACACACAGGAAGTCCTGAGCAGCCTCAGCAGGGCCACAGACATGGGGCAAGACAGAAAAGACACCCAGAGAAACACCTAAAAAATGCTACAAAATGAGACACAGAAAAGGAAATAGCCAACTACAAAAATACAATTCATCAAGAAGGCTGGGTAGACAAAGATCTCCCACAAAAGCCAGTCATCCCAGTGACTCAGGAGGCTGAGGTGGGAGGATCAAAGTTTGAGGCCAGCCTCAGCAACTTAGCAAGACCTTATCTCAAAATAAAAAGGACCAGGGTATAGCTCGGTGGTACAGCACCCTGGATTCAATCCCCAGTATCTGGGGATGGGGAGGATGGTGGCCCAAAACTCTGTATTCTAGGAAAAAATGGAGTAAAACCTTCAACTCTCTGAGGGGAATCATTCTTAATGCAAAACTCCATACCTAGCTAAACCATAATGAAGCATGAGGACAGAAAACCAGCTTGATCTGAACGGCAGGGACTCAAATGTACCTCCTATACACACTCTCGGAGGATACCCAAAACATACCTGGAGACCGGGGCGTAGCTCAGTGGGTGGGAACGCTTGCCTGGCTGGACCCCAGCACCACAGGACAGATGAGCAAAGAGGCCAACCGCAAAAGAGCACAGACGAGCACAGCACCACATGCCACTCAGCAAAGGGTGCCCATGCCAAAGGGCAAGAGCGCAGCAGGCAAGGGAAGAAGGGCGCTCCAAGGCCCACAGAGGAAAGACAGGGACACCTCCACATAGAGTCCTGGTCACAGCCCAGGGTTCAGAGACAAGCCAAAGGGCAGAAAAGAGGGGCTCAGACACCAGTTCTTGCTGCTCTTGTTTTATTGTTTTGTTTGTTTGTTTTGTTTTGTCTTGTTTTCTATTTGTACATGGACACAATGTCTTTATTTTTATTTATTTATTTTTATGTGGTGCTGAGGATCAAACCCAGTGCTTTATGTGTGAGAGGCAAGTGCTCTACCACTGAGCTACAATCCCAGCCCGAGTACATAGTTTTTTAAGAAAGCAATAACTCCAGGAAAAACAAAAGGTTGTCCAAGAAAGAAAATGTAACTATAGAACACAACTTTTCATCAAATAATATTTATATAATCCAAGTTATGTAAGTAGTTGTTTAATGGAAATTTTAAAAGTACCTTAATCATATGTAGAAAACAGGAGAAAGAAATAGAAAAAGGGTGAAGAATTAATCTTCATTTCCATAATAAAAAGTCAGCAGAAAATATCTAAGATGATTAAAAACTAGCAGTTGAAATCAGAAGAGAAAGGGGCTGGGGTTGTGGCTCAGCGGTAGAGCGCTCGCCTAGCACATACAGGGAGCTGGGTTTGATCCTCAGCACCACATAAAAATAAAATAAAGGTATTGTGTCCAACTATAACTAAAACAAAATATTTTTAAAAATCAGAAGAAAAGAGAGTTTAATGAGTTAAAAAAAAATTACCTTTGGGGAAAGGGGGAAAAGTAGGGGATGAATTTTCACAATTAATCTGAGCATAATTTTTAGGATAACTTTTAGGTTTTTGTTTGCTGTGTTTTTTGATATGAGGGATTGAACCCAGGGGAGCTTAACCACTAAGCCATATCGCCAGCCCTTTTTATGTTTTTATTTTGAGACAGGTTCTCGCTAAATTGCTGAGGCTGGCTTTGAACTTGCAATCGTCCTGCCTTAGCCTCCCAAGCCACTAAGGATTACGGGTGTGCGCCAGCACACCCAGCTTTCAGTTTTTATTTATGTTATTTTTATATTAGGGTGTGTGTGTGTATGTGTGCGCTTATTTGTGTGGGTGTATTTATTTGTGTGTGTGTATTTATTTGTGTGTGTGCTAAGGATCAAACCCAGGGCCTTAAACATGCTACGCAAGCATTCTGCCACTTTCAGTACAATCTGATTTGTACAAAGTATGCAAATTAATCTGCAAATGCCTAAAATTCAAGAATATCAAGCAAATTGTGACTTCTTCCATTATCTTAATAGTTGAAAAAAACTTCTTATTAATGAAAATGAATATAGACAGATGAGATACATGTTGTGGCTGTTATATAATGATAATTTTTAAGTTCTTCCCTAACTAGAAATTTGATAATATTACCCAGTTTTCTCCTCTTTTATGAGTATCTTTAATCTAGCTGAATTTCATTTTTTAAATTTTTTAAAAATATATATATAT